ATAAAACACAGAGAGGGATTCCTGTCTTTGAGGCAGAAACAGGAAGTCTCTAATTCAAGGCTAGCAAGATCCCGGCTCAAAAACCAAGGGGCTGGGAGTACAGCTCAGTGGTGAAGCATTTGTGCAAGCCGCTAGGTCTGAACTCTTGGAGGAAAAGGCCCCACTTCTTGGCTCCTGATCCTCTCTGATTCAGACTGTACCAATTATGTTATTCCTATTGTGTGCCTGCCATACAGTACTACAGCGGTTCTCAAATGTACTCCACAGATTCTGGGACCCCCAAGACCCTTTCAGGGGATAGGTAAGATGAAGTGACTTTGATAGTACCAACACAGTGCCTTTTTGACTACGCTGACATTTGCATCAGAAGTCAGAGCACAACAGGAGCCAGTGAATGGCTTCTAATAGATCAAGGTAGCGGCACCAGACTAGTCTTCATGGTCACACACTAAAAGGTTCATTTCTCTTGCTGGGCTGCGGAGATAGCTCATTCTGCAAAGCACTTGCCTTGAAAGCTCAACGCTGGGGAGGTGGCAGGAGACAGGAGGGTTCCTGGATGTCACTGGCCAGCCAGTCTAGCCTAAATGGTAAGCTCTAGGTGAAGGAAAGAGAACCTGTCTCAGAAGAGTTGGATGTTTCTAAGGATGACATTAGAGGGTGTCCTCTAGCCTCCACACACATGTGCATATACCTCCCCCCCACACCCATTTATAAATGAAAAAGGAATGTCCTTACTTAAGCCAAGTGTGGTGGCTCATGGTTGTAATCCTAGCACTTGGGAGGCCAAGGTTATTGGGTAGTTTATTTTTTGAGACAAGATCTCATTCAGTTGTCCATGCTGGACTTGAACTCATTCTGTACCTCAGGCGGGCCTTGAACTTTCTTTCAATCCTCAGCCTCAGTAGCTGGGATTTATAGGCTTGTGCCACCAGGCCAGGGGTTCTTTCTGTTTTAATTTCTAACATGATCAGCATCCACAGATATGATCCACATAAACAAAAGCTTTTGGGGAGCTCTTAAAGTTTTAGCATTGCTGGGAAATTCCTCTGGTGTTCTGTGGTCTCTTCAAAGTTAAAGGTGTATAAACAACAAAAGGCTGGGCATGGTGGCACACACCTTTAGTCCCAGCATTCGGGAGGAAGAGACAGGTGATCTCTGTGAGTTCGAGGCCAGCCTGGGCTACAAAGTGAAAAACCCTGTCTTAAAACAAAATAAAACAAAGTTGAAGATAACTCTTTTGGAAGCAAAGAGTAGAGAAAGGAAATGTCTGTTTTCCAGCAACCCTCTCTCCCTCAAGAAGAGACACCAAGACTGGATTAAATACTTTAATGGTCTCTGCTCACAGGAGAAGCAAGGCAGCCCCTCTTCACAGCCCTGTTCTCCCCGTGCACTATGTCCATGACTGGGGGGCATGAGGAGTCTATTTGTAACCCAGGTGGGCTAGGCCCCGATCTAAACTGTCCACCTCTCCATTCTTCTAGAGTCTCTTTTCGTATTTCCCCTCAGGTGACAATTTTCCCTTTCAGTAAAAGTCACAGTGGAGCACAGTTAAGGGCAAAGGAATCACTTTCCCAATCCGGCCAGCCCAGTAAGGGTGGGCATGGTACATGTGCCTACACCAGTGCGCCTGTGCAGGACCATGTACTTCAGTCAGTCCTGTAAGCTTCAAGGGTCCCCTGCATCAGTCCTTTCTCAGAAGTCACATATGGTGACTCGATTTTGAGACAGCCCAGGTCCCTGGATCCTTCCACAATAGTGGGGGACAGCTGAGGGAGAGGCAGACACTGGGCACATCTGTCATCTCTGGCACAGGGAAGGGAAGTGAGGAAGGACAGCAGGAGAGGTAGGTCAGCCTCGAGTGCTACTTCCCCGCTCCCCAAGGAGCCAGTAGGTCCGAACCTTGCCTTTGCCCTGGAGGAAATCAAAAGAGGAGACTTGGTAGGGAGTAGCACACTCATGTTCCCAAATCACTTAAGCTTAAGGCTGGGAGTGGCCTTGGGGCCCCAGGACCTGAAGGGGTGGTGAGGGCAGGGGTTTCTCTCTGTACCTTCATTTCCACATCCCCTCGGAGCTCCAGCTCAAAACCATCGAACTCCTCCAGGATAGCCTTGGTCTCAGACGACAGGTGGATCTTCAGGGCTGGAGGGGACAGGGGAGAAGGAAGGTGAGGAGCACGAGGGATGGGAACAGGAAGGTGCATGTTCGCATTCCAGGAATGCGGGCAGATTACTGCTTTCCCTCCTTCCTTTGGTTCAGGAAGTCTTAATTCACAGAAGTCTCACCCTGTTCATGCAGTGTGTGACTATACTGACTGTTCTAGAACTTGAGAGCTGTGCTATGCAATACATTGTCACTAACTATGTGGGCCTCAGTTGATAAAACTAAACATAGTTAAGCCAGGCGTGGTGGTTTACGCTTTTAAGCCCAGCACTTGGGAGGGAGAGGCAGGTGAATCTCTGTGAGTTCAAGGCCAGCCTGGTCTATATAGTGACTTCCAGGCCAGCTGGGGCTACAGGGAGACCCTGTCTTAAAAAGACCAAAAAAAAAAAAAAAAAAAAAAAAAAAAATTCAGATACTTGTGTTATTCTTTTTTGAATGTGTAACTAAGATAAGTGTTAAGTGTTGTGACCCTATATGATTGTATTGGGTTATGAGACACTAAAGGACTAGGCATTCCTTGAAGACTGTATCATGCATTGGTCATTGTATGGTGGGATAGTCATACCATGTTAGGAGGTGAGATTATGACCTCACCATTGTTTTCATTTGAAAATTAAGCATGACATAGAGAGATGTTATTGGGTGTGAAGTTGACAAGGGGTGGATTTGTGATGGCTAATCCTGGGTATCAACTTGACTGGGTCTGGGATTAACTGAAATGAGAGAGATTTTCTTGATTGGATCATCTGAAGCTGGAAGACACACCCTGAATGTGGGTGTTACCTTCTGATGGCAGCCCGTATAAAAGGCCATGGCAGAGAAGACCACTTGCTTTTTGTTGCTTGGTTGCCTTCTCGCTGGTGAGTTCGTCTTGCTACTGTAGACTGAAGACTAGCTGATCTTTTGGAATTCGTCAGACCTTCAGCACCAGATTGGGACTACTGGGACATCCAGCCTCATGGACTGAGCGACTACGGATTCTCAGCCTCTCCAGTGTGGTGCAGCCATTGTTTGGACTACTCAGATTCTATCCTGTGAGCTAAGCTGATAAATCCATATATATATATGTTCATTCTACCGTTTCTGTTTCTTTAGGGAACCCTGACTAATACACTCTGGATCATGGAGTGATCTCAATATAAAGTCCTCATTGTTCTTCCTGCCACTTTCCTTCTCCTTTACTATGACTCTTCAATACTGTATAGCACTCTAGCCTTGGAGCTAGAGAGATGGCTCAGCAGCTAAGAGAGGACCTGGGTTCAGTTCTCAGCACCCACATGGTAGCTAACAACCATCCATAACTCCAGTTCCAGGGGATCTGATGCCCTCTTCTGACCTACATGAGCACTGTACAACACAGGTACACTTACATACATGCAGGCAAAACATTCATACATATAAAATAAAAATAATAAATAAAATATCTAAAAATTCAGTGCCTCAATTACGCTGAACACATTTCTTCTCTCTCTGTCCCTTGTCCCTCCTTCCCTCCCTCTCTCTTTTTTGAAATAGGGTTTCATGTAACCCTAACTGGACTCAACTTACTATGTAGCTGAGGATGACTTTAACCTCATGATCTTCCTGCCTCTACCGCCCAAGTGCTGGGATTATAGGCAGACATCACCACGCATGGTTTATAGGGTGCTAAGGTTTGAAACCAGGGCTTCATGCATGCTAGACAAGACTATGGATTGAATTATACTCTGAGCCACTGGGCACATTTTAAGCAGTCACTAGCCATATATTACTCATAGCCACCATATTGGACTGTGTGGGTTAGAGAACATCTTTATGACCGTGGAAAACCCAATGGGCAGCACTGCTTTTGAGTATCACCTAATTCCCAAGGGACAGTACTGCACTTAGGAGCTCACACTATGGACGCTGCTTTGCCTCAGTGTAGAGCTCAGCTTGGACACTTGCTTGGGTAACTAATATAAATTGTGCTTCTTTTTCCTAATCTGTAAAACGCTGATGGTGATCGTACCCATCTCAAAGCATGGACTTAGATTTCCAGTACCTCAGATCAACACCTAGAGCATTCAGTAATATCAGATAAAACATGGCACATAGGAAACATTGAATAAAGTGTTGCTGTCACTGTTACCTGAGGCAATACTTTGGGGCTTTGTTTGTGTTTTTGGAGACAGGGTCTCACTTTGTTGGCATAGCTGGCCTGGAACTTGCTATGTAGACCAGGCTGGTCTTGAATTTATAGCGATCCACCTGCCTCCACTTCCCAAGTGCTGGGTTTAAAGGTGCATGCTGCCATGTCTGGCCTACTTGGGGTGTCTGTGTGTGTGCACACAGTGTGCATGCATGTGCACACATGTGGAGGCCAAAGGTCAATTTCAGGTGACTTTCTCTATTGCTCTCTACCTTATTGTTTGAGACAGGGTCTCTTACTGAACCTGGAACTCACAGTGGAACTTGTTTTGGCCAGATTCAGCTGGTCTGCAGGCCCCCCAGGATCTCCCCTACCCCCAGGGCTGAGGTCACAGGCATGCTGTCATGCCCAGCTTTCAGGGTGCTGCTGGGGATGCAAACTCATGCCTGCACAGTAAACACTTTACCCACTGGTTCTTTATTGCTCCCACTACCACTGGTTTTTTTTTTTTTTTTTGGTCTTTTTGAGACAGGGTCTCCCCATAGCCCCAGCTGTCCTGGAACTTGCAATGTGGACCAGGCTGGCCTCAAACTCAGAGATCTGCCTTCCTCTGCCTCCCAAGTGCTGGGATTAAAGGCATGCACCACCACGCCCAGGTTGTGAGGGGTAGTTTTACTCTGAAGCCTGGAACTTGGAATCCTCCTGCCTCACCCCCCCACCAAGTACTGGCATTACAGGAGTACACCACAGTGCCTGGATCAATACTCTAAATTTCTGTCTTCGGAACTAAGACAGTGCAGGAGGTCTGTCCAAGCTGTGTAGGAGGTCAGTGAGGGGGTGGGGCCCACTCTTCCCACACTTCCTGTGGCCACTCTCTGAACTCATAATCTATGTCTTCATGGTATCCTCTATTGTTCACCCACTTCTGAGAATGTGCTGCATGAGGAACGGGTCTCAGAGAAAAGCTCTCTCCTACCCACAGCCCTGAACATAGGGGGCAAAAAATTTGCTGACCCCAACCTCTCTGGGCTTGGCCAGCTGCCCACCGTGAGGCTTAGACGAGGTCCACATGGACTCCTCAACTGACTTTCAACCTGGTGCTGAGTAGCTGCTTCATAAATATTTACCAAGCCGAACTGTGTCAAATATAGCAGGAGCTATAAAATTCCAGCATTTGGGAGACTGTAGAAAGATTGAGATCAGCCTGGCCTTAAAAAAACCCAACAACAATAACAATCAAAAACAAAACTAGGGTGGTGTACACTCCTGTGACCCCAGCACTTAGGTGAGCATAGAAAGATCAAGGACTTAAGGTCAGCCTTGGCAACCTGAGATACTGTCTCAAACAACAAGGAGAATCACCACCTAGCAGGCAGATAAGCCAAGACCAAAGAAGACCGAAAGAAGGGGAGCAAACAAGCATTTATTGGATTCCTACTGCCTGCCGGGGGTTGTGTTGTATTGAGAGCAGCTGAGGCTCAGAAAAATTGAATGACAATTGTATGCTTGGCTCTTCTCTTTTTTAAAAAAGGAAGAAAGAAAGAACTCCCAAAGGCAGGAAGGGCTCTAAGGGACGAATGCCCGTGTACTTTTTTTTTTTTTTTGGTCTTTTTGAAACAGGGTCTCCCCGCTCTCCTGGAATTCACTACGTAGACCAGGCTGGCCTTGAACTCACAGAGATCTGCCTGCCTCTGCCTCCCGAGTGCTGGAATTAAAGGTGTGTGCTACCACACCCAGCAAAAAGATTATTTTTGAAAAAATAGTTATTTGTACTTTATGTGTATGAGTGTATTATCTGTATTTGTGTAAGTGCACCCACGTCATGCAGTGCCCACAGAAGTCAGAAGAGGGTGTTGATTCCCTGGAACTGGAGTTAGGGACAATTGTTAGCCACTATGTGGGTGCTAAGAAAAGAACTCAGGTCCTCTGGAAGAGCAGCCAGTGCTCTTAACCACTGAGCCATCTCCTCAGCCCCCCAAATTATTTTTTTAATTAAAACAAATTATTTGCACTTGGGAGGCAAAGGCAGGCAGAGCTCTGAGAGTGAGACCGGCCTGGTCTCCATAGCAAGTTCTAGGCCAGGTGGGGCTACAGGGAGACACTGTCTCAAAAAGACCAAAGAAAAGAAATTTGTGTGTGTATGTATGTGTGTTTTGCCTTTGTGTATGTAAGTGCACTTATGTGTTCAATGCCTGCAGAAGACAGAAGAGGACATAAGATCTCCTGGAACTGGAGTTACAGCCAGTTGTTAGCTGCCTTGTGGGTACTGGGAACTGAATCCAGGTCCTCTGCAAGAGCAGCCAGTACTCTAACCACTGAGCCATCTCTCCAGCTCCCCATAACTCTTAAAAAAATTTTTTTTGTTACATTTACTTATTTATTGTGAGTAGGGAGGGGCATGTGGAGGTCATAGGACAATCTGAGGAAATCAATTCTACCATGTGGGTCCTGGGGATTGAACTCAGGTCATCAGGTTTGACCAGTGTCTTAACCCACAGAGCCATCTCACCAGTCCCTGGGCATTGTATTTTGTTTTCACATCCTACTGAGTCCACAAATCATCTGTGTGTGTGTGTGTGTGTGTGTGTGTGTGTGTGTGTGTACATGAGGTATTCAACATTTAATTATAAAATGAAATTTGTTTCCTGGGCTGGTAGCACAAACCTGTAATCCTAGCTACGTAGAGGCTAAGGAAGGACAATTGCAAGTTTGAGACCATCCTGGACAACTTAATGAGACTTGCCTCAAAATAAATATAAAAAGGTGCGTGCACGCCTTTAATCCCAGCACTCGGGAGGCAGAGGCAGGTGGATCTCTGTGAGTTCAAGGCCAGCCTGGTCTACATAGTGAGTTCCAGGACAGCTGGGACTACAGGGAGACCCTGTCTCAAAAAGACCAAAAAAAAAAAAAAAAAAAGGTGCACGCGCTTGTTAGATGGCTTTGCCCATTTGTAGGCTAATGAAAGTGTTTTGAGCAGACTTAAGGTAGCTAACTAAGCTGTGATGTTCATAGACTAGGTGGAGTAAGTGCATTTTTTGACTTACAATATTTTCTTTTTGAATAGTGTCTCATATAGCCCAGGTTGGCCTTGAATCAATATAAAGCTGAGGCTGATCTTGAACTCCTGATCCTCCTGCCTCTGCCCCCAAAATGCTGGGATTGCAGGCATGTGCTACCACACCTAGCTAATATTTTAGTTTACAATGTGGGTGTGCATGTATTATGAAAAGGCAGTGTGGCAGGAGAGGAAGCTGGGAACTGGCTGAGGTTCTGGGTAGGCATAAGCAGCAGCAGGGTGCCTTGGTGACCCCCCTTCTCATTCCTTTTAAGGGAGGGGCATCCTACCTTCCCCATTAGATTCCATTCTTGAGGCCGTGTTAACTGTGTCTCCAAAGAGGCAGTAACGGGGCATCTTCAATCCTACCACACCAGCACACACAGGACCTGAGAGGGGGAAAGGCAGAGAACAGAACCCAAGGGTGTTAAAGGGAGGTAGGTGGGCATGCCAGTAGAGGTGAGAGTTAAGATATGAGGTCCCATTGTGTGGGGGAGGGGATAAGAAGCCAGGCCCAGGGACAGTTGTGCATTCCCCAGCTCCATCCCCTAGATCTTCCTCCTCATGCCTTCAGATGTCTGACCTGTGTGGATGCCAATGCGCAAGCGCAGCTGTTCTTGGGGCCGATGACGGATTCGGAAGGAGCGGACGGCATCCAGCAGTGCAAGTGCCATGCGGGCCACCTCGCGGGCATGGAGCTGCCCATTCCGTACTGGGAGACCTGACACCACCATGTAGGCATCACCAATGGTCTCCACCTAAGGGGTCGGCAAGAGAATGCAGAACAGGAGGGCTGGAACTTTCCCTGTGCCATCTGCTTGTCACACCATGCCTGTCATTCTGTTCCCATCAGCCTGCCTGTCACTGTATTCATCTCCCATCCCTACGGTTTCTCTATCATTCCTGGGTCGCCCTGTGTCACTTTGCCTATGTCCCCTGGTCTCCTCTCACAGTCCATGTACCCCTCAGGATTTTTTGTAACCCTGTCCATGTCTGCCTGTCTCTCCCCTTCCCTACTCACACCCTCACCTTGTACACATCGAAGTTGTCTATGACAGCATCAAAACAAGTGTAGAGGTCATTGAGCAGGGTCACCACCTGGAAGGCAAGAGAAGCCAAGACTGGGGAGTGAGGGCCTCTACTGGGGACAGAAGGAAAAAGCTAACCACAAGGTCAAGCTACCCAGCCCGAGGCTGAACCCCAGCTTACCTGCATGGGTGTGCTCTCTGCTGACAGGGCTGTGAAGCCCACGATGTCACTGAAGTAGATGGTAACACTGTCAAAGGCCTCAGCCTGGACTGTCTCTCCTCGCTTCAGCTGCTCAGCCACGGAGCTGAGGGGTGAGGGCAGGTACAGACAGAGGTGAGGTGGGGTGGGGACTGGATGGTGCGGAGAGTGCACACGTGCATGTGTGGTGAGCTTGTGTCCAGAGGCGAGCACTCACTGAGGCAGAATCTGGTAGAGCAGGGCCTCGGCCTTATGCTTCTCCTCCAGGTATGCCTGTGTCCGCTCCTCTACCAGCTCCTCCAGGTTGTTGGCATACTGCTCCATGCGTGACAACAGATTGTCCAGGATGTTGCTGCTGTTCTCCCTGAGGGCCATGGGGCATAGTGGGGCTGATGAAATATAACTGGTCCCGCCTGGAGTGCCCACACTCAGGCATTTACCCTGCCCAGGGTTTTTTGTTGTTGTTTGTTTTTTGCAGAACTAAGGATTAAACCTAGAGTTTCCTGCTTGCTAGGCAAGTACTCTGTCATTGAGTTACTGAGCTGCATCAACCAACTTTTTTTTTTTACTTTTTGACAGGGTCTCCCTGGAGCCCCAGCTGGCTGGCCTGGATCTTGCTACGTAGACCAGGCTGGCCTTGAACTCACAGAGATTTGCCTGCCTCTGCCTCCCGAGCGCTGGGATTAAAGGCATATGCCACCATGCCCGTCTGGATATCTTATTTATTCTAGTTGAACACAAGTGAGTTTGAAGGAGGTAGAGGTGGAGAGGGGCAGGATCAGCTGAGGCAGAGTGACAAGTGGCGGAGGGCATGGTGGGCCCCAGTGGGCACTCTGGAAAAGGCAGACAGAAGGAAGGTAGAAGCTTTCAAGTAAGGCTGAGGCTACAGAAGGAGGCGTGAGAGCCTGGGGCATGTGGCTCTATCACTGAAAGGTCTGGGGGTCAGTACAGAAGGTGTCAATGTTGGTGGACGAAAGGGTTATGAATGTTAGGAGCCTGTGGGGGCTGCCAAGTCACACAGTATCTGCCTATGAGGCTTTGCTGGGCTGCAGTGGGCTCCCTTTGCCACTGTAAGGACAGACTTAAGTGTGCGGTTTATGGCTGTGGTGGGGAGGGGTTTCAGGGTCTATAGCTAACACCAATAACCTGTTAAACTTGCGCAGTGCCAGACGAATCTGCTGGAATGGTGGTCGCTCCTGTGGGTCCTCTGCCCAGCACCGCTGCATCAGCTGCCCCAGCTCCTCCAGGTGGCTCTGCAGGGCCATGGAGGGCCGGAAGGGGGGCTGCTCACCCCGAGTCACTCGCTCTATGATCTCTGTGTGGAAGGGGGCAAGCATTACTAAGGGCCCAAAGGGCAACCAGCTGGGGCAGGTGGATAAGTCCAGACCAGAACATGGAGCAGAGGCACTGGTAAGAAACTGGTCACTGGCAGCCATGGTGGTGGCTGAACCCCACTCCAGTAGGGTCCCATCCCTCTGAATGGGATTAGCTGAGATTGGCAGAGGTAGGGGCCATGCGGTCCTTACCTTTTGGGCTGAGGTCCAAACCTTCCACGTGGAAGACTCCGCTCCTCAGGGCGATCTCCTGAAGGATGATGCCGAAGCTATACACATCACCAGCCTGGGAGCCTCTTGCTGGCGGTGAAGACATTCTTAGGAGCTCAGGTGCTGTCCACAATTTTTCTGTGGGTCAGAGATCAGAAGTAACTACTGGAGGGGCCCCAAAGCTAGGGGATAAGGGACCTCATATTCTAGGGAGAAGAGAAAAACTAGCAAATAAATAGCATATTTCATGCCCCTCCCCCAATGCTATAATAAAAGTAAAGTAACATAGTACAACAATGTTGGAGAAAAGAAAGCTTCATTCAGTTAGAGGGTTAAGAAAAGCTTCAGGACTGGGGAGATGGTTCAGTGGTTAACAGCACTGGCTGCTTTTGCAGAGGACCCAGTTTGGTTCCTAGCATCCACATGGCAGCTAACAACTGACTGTAATTCCAGTTCCAGGGGATCTGACACCCTCTTCTGGCCTTCACAGGCATTGCACAACACAGGTACACTTACATACATGTAGGCAAAACACTCATACACATAAAATAAAAATAAAAAAAATAGAAGAAAAACTTTGAACAAGGCTGTGTTTGGGACACATGATACAATGCTGGGAGCTAGAAGAGGCCTAGAGATCATTTAGTCTGACCTCTTTTTTTTACCAATGAGGGTTGAGCCTGAAGGCAGGGGAGATGTACCCAAGTCCAACAGAGGCCTCAGTTTCCCTTCTCAGGCAGATCCCCTACTCAGCTATGCTGTCAGCAGGGGTTGGGGGGGGTCAAGAGTTAAGCTCACTAGCAAAGAGTGTGTGTCCTTGCTCTGGTTCTGGGTCCCTGAAGCTCTCAAGCCCGTAGTCAGTGATCTTTAGCACAAAGCGCCCATCTACCACACAGTTGGATGACTTGAGGTTCCCATGGGAACAAATGGCCCCGTTGTGTAGAAACAGCATTCCCTAGAAAATTTGGGGAGGCAGAAGTCTTGGGCATGAATGGGACACCCAACTATAGTCAGAGGAAAAGCCCTTCCCCGACATCCAGTGGGTTCTGTGCTTACCTTGACGATGTCATTGGTGAGTGAGTAGCGAAACATCCAGTCCAGGGTGATGCTCTCATTTTCAAGAATATCCTGCTGGGGCAGCAAGAGTCAGACCCCTCCTGGGAGAGGGAGGAGGGTACAAGGGGCCTACTGACATAAACTGGGAAAACAGAACACATGGATTTACTTTAATGCCAGCACACCCCCACCATCAAATACTCCCATTTTACAGAGAAGGCCAAGAAAAGCCAGAAAGAGGGAAGCTTGCCTGGGCTCATACAGTTAGGGGGGCAGAGCCAGGGCTACAGTCTAGGTTTCTTGACTCAGTCCTCTTGTCCCACTCACCTGCAGGCTTCCACGGGGACAGTACTCTGTGAGGATACAGATGTTGGGGGGGTCAGTGCAGGCACCCACAAACCTGGTCAAGTGTTCATTCTGTACATCCCGCATCTGCAAGTGAGGGGCAACATCAGAGGCTGGCAGAGACTTTGCACCTCACTCAGTGTCCATCCCTAGTGATATCCACCCATGTCCCTTTGCATGCTCTTTCTTATGGTCTGTTCCCTGCTCCCTCAGCCTCTGTGCTCTCTACCTGCCAGGACAACATGTCTGGCCCCTTGAGGATCTTCCTAGGCTATCCCCAGTGACCTCTTATCTCTTTGTCACTGATCCCCCTCCTCCCATCCACAAGATTCAAAGGCCCATCCCAGGCCTACAGCTCCCTCTATAATCAGTTGTGTTGGCCGGTCCTCTTTGTATACCCATGGGACCCTTCCCAGGCCAGGGCCTCACTCCCGCACATTACATGTTTCAGCTCAAACAGGACTTTTCGAGTCAACTCAATGCGTTTCCGGTTCACACGTTTCACAGCCACGAGGTTGCCCTGAGCAAGAAATGGACACTTGCTGTTCAGGGCATGGCCTGGGACCTCCGCCTACTCGGACAGCCCACATGACCTGGGGACACACCCATCCCATGCTTCCAAAAGCCCATTCCCTGGCCCTGTAACTCCCACTTGCTGCCTGGGAGCTCACTCCAGGACCCTCCCTTAGTCCTCAGAGCATGCTCCACCCAAGTCCTGAGGACCAGCAATCTTTCCCCAGGCCCACCTTATAGTATGCTGTCTTGGCAAAGACTTGGAACTGGCCCTCTGTGGTTAGCAGGGAGCCATAATTGGAGCCTCTCTACAGGAAGAAGAACAAGTCAGCCCTGGGTCCAGTCTGCATCCTGAGAACTTGAGTTCTAGATTCAACCACCCTGATCGTTATCTGTGTCACCCTCCTGAGAAAGGATCTCACTTTTTAGTCCAGGCTGGCCTGGAAGTCACTATGTAGCCCAAGCTAGCCTTAAACTTGCAGCAGTCCTCCTGCCTTGGCCTCCCAGGTGTTAGGATTACAGGTGTGAGCTACTGTGGTGGCTGTCACCCTTGGTTATGCACCCTATCATTTATTATTTCATAGTTTTATCTTTACTTACATGATCTCCTTTGACACTGAAAGAGCCCTCAGATCACCATCTGAGACAGTCTCAGAGAGGGCAAGCTTACACCCAGTGAAGCAGCGCCAGGAGTAGAACTGCTCTTTTGTTTCTGTTTTCATCAGACAGGGTCTCGTTCTGCAGCCCAGGTTATCCTCAAACATGCAGCAACCTCCCTGCCTTAGTCTTTCAGTGCTGGGATTATAGGTGTGAGCCACCTCACCCACCTTTCTACTTTACTCATCCGTATACCCCATCAGGCACTGCCCTTGGTGCCCAGATATCCTGTCCCCCAAGAGACAGCAATGTTCCTACCCCGCTCAGGGTCAGCCGGCTGCCAGCGCTCCGAAGATGCCTTTCCAGGCTGCTGGGCTGCAGATCTTCCCAGCGTACCCGCCACAGCTCTGAGGCCAGCTCCTTCTCCAGCTGCATCTTCCTGGGGTGGGAAGCCTGCACCTGAGCCCCTAGCCCTGGCGGGGTGCACAGCAGCCCCTCCTCAGAGTCCTGAGACACTCCATGTGCAGAGTTAAGTTGGGGAACTCTGTTCCCTGAACCGAGTCAGGAGGCCCTGGGGCAGGGGCCGGGGCAGCAGAGAGGGGAATTCTATCTCAGGGGGACTTTGAGGAAGTCCCCTCAGTTTCTTTGGACGTTGGGGGCCTTCAAATCTACTTTATTCTTAAATATTATTGGAATGTAGAGATGTACTGTGTGTGGAAGTGCCTGGCACACAGTACATGCTCAATCAGCACTGACTTGTTCCCCTCCCTCCTCTTTCCTGTTTCCTTATCTCCCCCTGTATTTCCATTTCCTGCTGCACTGGAGGGCAGGAGTGGGGTTCTCTCAGCCCTCCTCTTCAGGCTAGGGTCAGCACCTGCTCCACAGCAGGGCTCATCATCAAGGTCAATTAATCTGGGCCAATTCCCTAAGGTTTTGAGCCACTGCTTTCCATCTGGCCTCAGGATAGCAAAGAGGGCCAGTGCCACACCAGAAACTGCTATGACCTCTCTCCCCAAATTCTCTGCTTCCTCTGACATCTCTGGATGTGGCCTTGCAATGATGACCCAGTCAGAACCGACCTGACTGGCCCGTGCCTTCCAGCCTCCATTCTGGAGCCCCTGACACCTCAATGAGGGAGTAAGATCTGTGTTCTTTGCCCACCTGCGGCTCCCTCCCAGTCCACGCCCCTTCCCACCCTGTACTGGCTCCTGTTCCCTTCTTTGTCTCTTGTCCTTTTTCTCCTCACTTCCTTCAGCCTGTACTTGCTGTCCCTTCTTCCCTCTGTATCCCTCTCATCTCTACAGCTGGCTCTCCCTGTCTTCCCAGCCCCTCTTGGCATCCCTATGCCTCAGCTTACCTATATATGAAGAAGGACACAATCAGAAAGCTGAGTAGGGAGAGGCTGCCCACCAGAGCCAGAACCTCCAGGGTAGAGAAGTGGTCTGAGGGAGAGACAATAGGAAGAAGAAACCATGTAACAGTCAAGTGAGATGATAGGAAGAAAAGCCAGGAGGAAAGAAGCCTGTTTTAATTCCCCTGAGGAGGAGGCAGTGGCTCCAAACAGGGCTGGAAAATAGTCACCTTGGTTGCAGGCTGGGTCTTCATTGTCAAAGCCACATTTAGGGATGTCAGGAGGCGGATATCCCAGAGGCCAGAACAATTTACGCTCTGACACAGTCACCAGCTCTTGGGAAGTCCCATTATAGTTCAGTACAACCTGAAGAAGATTGGGAGTGGTGGATGCCTGTAGCCTCTGGCATTGTCCTGCCTCCACCTGCCTGTCTCTGCTTCCAGGGCCAGTATCTGGGTTGCCAACTACTTATCAGTTTCCTGCTGTGACTACACAGGTCTTCAAACCCATGCCCACGGGATTAGAGGGCAAAAACTTGAATACTACTCAAAGGCTTTATTGAGCAATATCCACATGAAGCCCTGCCCCTATTGGGGGAGGGGGTTGTAGCACTGAAACAGCACCTCAGTTCACACTCTCAGACCTAATCCACATGATCCACAGATCCAGGAAGTCTTCTCTGGATCTGATTCTTGGTACCTCTGACCTTAGTCCCTTCCTGTCCCTGTTACACTCACACACCCGCATAGAGGCATTCCTCTTGGCCCCAGAGTCCCTGTCACAGAGTCCCACCTGTCTTAGGAACTCCCTAAGGGAAGGACTGTGCCTGAGGGGGAGCATATGTAGCCCAGTCATTTTGGTTGCTCCCCAGATTGGAGTTGGGTCTGCCTTGTGCAGGAGTCTCATAGATGTCTACAGAATAAGGGGATGCCTGGCAGGGCTGTAAGGGAAGGATAGGAGAGCAAGACAGCCTTCCGGACTGGTACTGTCTTTTGGGTGAATAAACCTACCCTGAAGGCACCCGTCTCTGGATCCATATCCCAGAGGGAGAAGTCGGTCTCCCGATCTCCATTGCCGTCAATTTTCAGATATCCTGTCACACCTGGGGGCATGGGGGAGGAGGGCTGTGTTTTGAGAGAATGGAAGTTCAGAGATGCCCCACTTCATTTCTTTGTCCCAACCCATCTGTCTGCCTGCCTGCCTGCCTGTCTATCTGTTTATCTATGTTATAGACATAGATGCTGTACATAGATGCATGAATAATGGTGAAAGGTGGAATGGGTTGCAGTGGGAATGACAGATCCGGCATGTAGAACTTTTTTTTTTTGAGGCAGGGTCTCACTATGGTAACCCTGGCTGGCCTGGAACTCACTAAGTAGACCAGGATGGCTTGGAATTTATGGAGATCCACCTGCCTCAGTTTTTGGAGTGCAAGGATTAAAGGCGTGTGCCACCATGCCCAGGCCATGGCATGAAGACCTTTATGAAAGTGAGGAAACAGGCTGGGTAAAAGATTCCTCACCACCTCCTGCTTGGACTCCTGGGGCCCACTCTCATCCCATCCCCACATCCCCAAAGCAGCCCATTCCAGCTCTCTCCAGGCCCTAACCTTGGAAGCTTCGGTTCCACATCCGCTGTGTGATGTCCTCCCCATCAGTGACAGATCCCCCCTGTGCTAGAGTCTCTGTCACTGCCTGGACATAGAGCAGGAGCCCGTCATGGAAGAATGCCGGAATGGTGTTCTCCTGTAGAGGCAAGCAGAGTGAGTACGGTGCTGTGGGCAGAGAACAGGAGGCTCTAGGAGCTTGGAAAGGGATGCAGAAAAAGCCACATTACCCAGATATGACTCAGAAAAGGCAACTTTACATTGACCACTGTTCACCACACTGAATCAGGCTAGATAGGACAGGATGTGTCATTCTCATTTCCCTGAGAGGATCTTAGGTTCAAGGGGTGAACTTGCCATTGTCCCCTTCTATTGTCAGGAGAGACAGAGAAACAATAGGAATGGAAAGACAGAGAGACAAAATGCTGCGATTGTTGAAAGGACAGGATCGAGACTGGTACAGGGCCATGGAGCAGGGGCTGGAGATCCGGGTTGCAGGGCCTTAGGACCCCTTCCTACCAGGCCATCCTCCATGGTGAAGTTGAACTGCTCATGAACCAGGGCTTTTAGCTGCTTCAGGAATTCCAAGTACTCAGGATTATCCGGTTCTTTGTAAGTAATGATTTTGGCAGCCTAAGGAAGGGGTCAGTGAAGAGAGGAGAGCTGGGAGCTGATTCCAGTCCTCCCAGTATCTTGGGGTCCCAGTTGTTTGGGATCCCACCTCCCAGACCCGCCTCTCTGTTTAGGTCAAGGTCAAATTGTATCCTGGTTCCTGCATGAGGTGGCATTTGTGCTCAAACAAAAGATTCAAGTCTTAGGGCTGGAGAGATGGCTCAGCGGTTAACAGCACTGGCTGCTCTTGCAGAGGACTGGGGTTCAATTCCCAGCACCCACATGGTAGCTAACAACCACCCTAACTCCAGTTCTAGGAGATCTGACACCCTCTTCGGGTCTCCATGGACATTGTACTTACATACATGGAGGCAATACACTCATACACATAAAATAAAAATAACGGTCTGGAGAGATGGCTCAATGGTTAAGAGCATTGGCTACTCTTGCAGAGAACCTGGGTTTGAGTCCCAGCACCCAAATGGCATAACAAACATTTGAAACTCCTGTTCCAGGGGATCTGACGCCCTCTTCTGACCTTCACAGGCATTGCACAACAGGGGTGCAGTTACACACATGCAGGCAATACACTCATACACATAAAATAAAAATAATAAAATATTTTTAAAAAATATATAACAAATAACATTTTAAAAAAGTATTCAAGTCCTGTTCAGTCTATGGGTCTTCACTCTCCTCCTACTTCAAGCCCATTCTACTATCTGTTTAGCTTCTGGCTCTGAAGCCCCCACATCCCATTGAGGTCATTTCCAACTCTCTATGAACATCAAGAACTGATTTTCTGGGATTCTTTCAGACACTTGGGAGCACAGTGCTAACAGCTCAAACCTTGGACTTCAAACCCCAGCACTCACCTGAAAGGCCTGGTGGGCCCTGCTGTCCTGCCCATCTCCTCTCTCCCAGGGCTTTCTGGGAGCAGGGCCCTGAGCACCCTGAAGGCTTTGTCCAAACACGTCCAGGTGGAAGAAAACATAGTCCTCCCCAGTCAGTCCAGCATCCAGGGCTAGAAGCATCAGGGTCCTGAAGGCATCTGGAGAGCTGCAGATGTAGATAACTGGAAGGGGAGAGGGAGTGAGAGAGAGACAGAGAGACAGAGACAGAGACAGACAGAGACAGACAGGGAGACGGAAACAAGAGAGACAGAGACAGAAACAGAGATAGAGACAGAGAGAGACAGAGACAGAGACAGGGAGACAGAGAAAACACAGGAACCCAGCTAAGGCACAAAGAAGGGAATTCCGAGCTTCTAGCCTTTTTATGGCAGCAACTCCTAGCTCAGTCTGGGTGTTGGCAGGGGAGCATGGAGGGAGGGAAAAGGTGTGCAGGGAAAGGGAAAGGAGGTGAAAAGGGAAGATTAGGGCTGGGGAGAGGGAGAGAGGGGAGCAGAAGGTGGGCCAATCCAGGAGTCAGAGAGGAGAGAATGGCCAGCTGGAGAGGGGACTGGCGATAGCCTGTGTGGGAGCTTTGGAAGAGAAGCTGGAGGGGGGGGGGGAAGCGCTAGGGACGAGAGAAAACAGAAGGGGAGATGGACCGAGCTAAGCTAGTGCTGAGTGCAAGACCTTGCTTTCTGCTCACGGAGGTCGGGAAGGTCAAGGGGAGAGGGTAGGAGTGTAACCGGTGAGGGAGGGGGTAAAAGAGAAGGAAACTCGGAGGTAGGAGGGCCAGGATGGCGGTGTCCCTGGAAGCCAGGCCCCCAAAAGAGCGAGCCAGACGGCCAGGCGCCCGCCTCACCTCCGCCCTTGGGCCCTCACCTCGGCCCTTGCGCCGCACGGTCCGCAGCAGCATGGTATAGTGGTCCTGGTCGCCCTCGGCGAACTCCTGGTGGTCCACCGTGATGTTGAGGTGGTCACGGACCCGCATGTACAGCCCCTCCACGACGAAGAAGCAGGGTCGGTCTCCGCCCGGCGGGTCGGCGTAGAGCACTAGCGCCTGGCGCTCCCAGCCCAGCCGTCGGTGCAGCGCGGCCACGAAGTCGCCGAGCTTGGCGTGGCTGGGCCCCGCGCGCGTGGTCAGCGCGTACTCGTCCTTGAGCCCGAAGCCCAGCGCCGCGGCGCCGGCCGTGAGCAGCGGCACCCGCCAGTGCGCAGTGAAGCGTCCCACCGGGGCGGCGGCGTACACGCAGCCCGGGCCCAGGAACACCGCGGGGTTGTGCTCCCACTTGAGGTCCACGGCGGCCAGGGGCGCGGCGGTGTCCGAGCAGGCGCCCGCCGCATTCTCGCTGCTGCCCAGCACCGTGCGGACCGTCCAGCCCGGCAGCAAGTCGGGCCGTGCCTTCACCCGCGCGAGAGCCAGCTCCACGGCCGGTCCCACGCGCGTCCAGGACCACGGGTACGAGGTGTTGGCCAGCGGCAGCACCACTGCCACCGTCAGGTTGCCCGCGTGGCCGCCCCGCAGCAGCAGCAGCGGCGGCAGGAGCAGCAGCGCCCGCAGGCGCGGCCGGGCACGCGTGGGGCGTGGGGGGCCCGGCATGGCCTCAGAGGGCACGGCGAGGGGCGAGCGCTCCCAGCATGGGCTCCTCAGGCTCAGCCGCGCGCGCCTGGCATCTCCCGAGGCCCGCTGCGCGTGGAAGCTGCGACGGTCAGAGCTGCCAGCGCGCTAGGCGGGGCGCAGGGCACCGTGGAGCAGGTGGGGCAGGCCCAGCTCCGGGGGGTTGGGGGGAGACCGGCGGAGCAAGGAGCGGGAGAAATGTTCCGGAGAGCTGGGGAGCGGGAGCGTCGGGGAGGAGACTGCTTGTGGGCGCGCGCCGGCCCCAGGACTGTGCCAGAAGGGGCGTCCGGCCGGCTCGGGCTCCGGCCGTCCGGGGGTGGGGGAACGAGGAGGTCCCCAGCCAAGCAGAAACCTCCCTCCCGCAGGCTTCCCCTCCCAGACTCGGTGACCGAAGAGTCCGCAGAGCCAATCCCCGCTCTTTAACTCCTTTCTCCCAGCTCTGGGTGCCGAGGGCCCCCACCCCGCCGCGCAGACCCTGTTCCCGATGCTGCGCCACGCTTCCTTCGCCGGGCTGCACCCGCGGGTGGGGCGCCCTGGCCGCCAGGAGAGAAGGGCTGAGGGGCCGTGTGTGGAAGCAGGCTCCGGGCCCTGGCGCCCCAACCTGTCCCTCCTTTCCTACCTGGCTCTTAGCGAAGAGGGCCTGGGGCTGATCTGGGATTTTGGCAGAAGTGTGTGGACTAAGGGTTAGGGAGGGTTATGGGTTCCTGGACCAGGAGATCGAGTAGAGGTGAGCTAAAGTCTAGGTTACCTCGACCATCAATGAGTTCCTCCCCTTTCCTCCCCACCGCCTCTCACGTCGCGCGGATTAACCGGGCAAGATGACCAACCAGGTGGGAAGGTGGAGTTAACTCCTCAGTTCCCTATTAATGGTGGGAAGTGGGGAGAGAGGGTGGGTGGCTAGGGGAGTAGAGGTGTAACCTCGAGTAAGTGTGTTTTGGGTAGAGGACTATTTAAACTGAGATCTGTGCTGACCGGGGCACTTGGTGTTGGAAATGATCATTAGAAGAGTAAATTGAGAAGGGAGTTTTGGTGCACCAGACAAGACTGTTGGGCTGCTGGTCCAGAGCGCTGTGGAGCTAGTCTGCCCTCTAATGGTCATTAGGATTCATGAGCAGTATTTCGCCACCAACCTCCCCAGCCCTGTGCCCAATAGGTCAGCAAACAAACATTTCCAGAGGATCTTATGTGTCAAATGCTTAGGGCATAACGATGAATATACAGTTTGTGCCTTTGAGGACAAATACCATAATACAATCTACTTTAAGCACTGCAGTGGAGACATGGATGAATTGTTAAGGGATTCAGATGAGGGCTGTTAATTCTAGTTGGATAAGGGCCAAGGAAACCTCCAAAGACCTTCACTCTACAAAGATAGAAGGATGAAAAGGGCATTTTGCATCTCCCTGTAGCCCCAGCCAGCCTGGAACTCACTATGTAGACCAGGCTGGCCTCGAACTCACAAAGATCTGCCTGCCTCTGCCTCCCAAGTGCTGGGATTAAAGGCATGTACCACCACACCCAGCTTGGAGTATATTTTCCATATATGAGGTTTTAGGAGATACTTTTTAAGGAGACATTCTGTAACCCTGGATGCTTTGCACTCACTATGTGTCCCAGGCTGACCTTGACTCGCAGTGGCCCTTCTGCTTCAGTCTCCTGAGTGTTGGGATTACAGGCTGAGCCAAGATGCTGGCTCAGATTTTTTGAACATTCTTATTGTCTAAAACTGTTGTCCCAGTGGCTAATTCGAAATGGTAGATCTGGTTTGTAGTCTATTTTATTTATTTGTCTGGTACATGAGCATTTGGACTTCCAATTTTTCTTTTTTTTTAAATGTGTATGTTGTGTTTTGTGTGCATGTAAGTGCACCATGAGGGCTTTGGATCCCCTGGAACTGGAGTTAAGGACAGTTTGTAGCCGCCATGTGGGTCCTGAAAACTGAACTCAGGTCCTCTGCAAGAGCAGCCAGTGCTCTTAACCACTGAGCCATCTCTCCAGCCCTGGTTTTTGTTTTTTACATTATGTGTGTGTGTGTGTGTGTGTGTGTGTGTGTGTGTGTTGCAGTGTGGGTACACACATGTGAGTGCAGGTATCCTCAGAGGCCAGAAGAGGGCCTGAGATCCCCTGGAGCTGGAGTTAGAGGCAGTTGTGAGGCACCAAACTCAGGTCCTCCGGAAAGCAAACTCAGGTCCTCTTATCTGCTGAACCATCTCTACAGCTCCCTGCTTTTAAAAACAGATTTTTAAAAAGTGTGTGTGTGTGTGTGTGTGTGTGTGTGTGTGTGTGAACTAGGTATGTATGGGTGCACTTAGAAGCCAGAAGTGGGTATTGAATCCCCTGGAACTAGAGTTGCAAGCAGCTATGAGCCACCTGACATAGGTGCTAGAGCCTGAACTCAAGTCCTCTGGAAGAGCAGCCAGTGCTCTTAACCGCTGAGCTATCTCTCCCGTTTCCTATTTTTCTTGAAATATTGTAAGAATTGGCAATTTAGGTCCTGCAAAAGTTTTAACGTCAACTAAGGCTGAAGCTGAAGTTCTGGGAGTATGACCCGCTGTGTCAGGCTAGAAGGAATGGGTAACTAGCATTCCCTTCCTTCTTCCTCACCTCTCCGTCCACAGAATCCATACCAACGTCATAATTTTTCTCTAGAACAGCAATGTCCTTATGGACCTTAAAAAAACTCCTCTTCTGCTGGGTGTGGTGGCGCACGCCTTTAATCCCAGCACTCGGGAGGCAGAGGCAGGTGGATCTCTGTGAGTTCAAGGCCAGTCTGGTCTCATAGTGAGTTCTGGGACAGCTGGGGCTACAGGGAGACCCCGTCTCAAAAAGACCAAAAACAACAACAACAAGAAAAACTTCTTTTCTGGTGCTCACACTTGCTATTCTTCCAGAGGAGATCCAGGTTCAATTCCCAGCACCCACATGGTGGTTAACCATCCGTTAACTCCAGTTCCACAGGATCTGACACCCTTTTCTGCCCTCTGAAGGCACACATACATGCAGGCAAAACACACATACATAAAATTAAAACAAACAAAAACAACCAACAACTCTCCTTTCTCCATCTCCTCACTACATATGAGTGAACACCTGGCACACAGCAGGTCAAACTCAGTGGTCCAGATGATCCCATGCCTCAGCAATGGCAGTGGTGTTGCTCAGCATGCCCACTGCTCGTGGGTTAGGTCTCCACCAAGTAGTATGGTGAGGCTGATAATGCCAGCCTTAGGGCCATTGGACCAACAATCCACAAACCACAGTGTGTGGTCTTGATGGCAGCAACACATTTCCAGAGAACAACAGCCAGCAAAGCCATGTATTTACCATGATGAGGACCCATTTTACCATGTGGCCCACTAGCTCAAAGCAAACATTGGTGATCTCCACTCCAGAAGGCTATCTGTGTTAGGCTTTCTCAGTGACTGACTACAAGGAGATCTGTGACCAGAGGGAGACAGAAATGGAAATCCGTCAGATTAACATTCAAGGCTCCATCAACTGGAGGGAAGCAGTGACAGAAGACACCATCTGGCTGGCTAATAAAGCAGTTAAGATTAATATATGTTGGATGCTCAATATCAAGGTTTCTAGGACAGATGTTATAGATGGTCTCATAGTTTACCATGAAAGTGCAATTAAGAGTGCTCCAGGGTGGAGCAGTGAGGATGGAGTTGCAGGGCTCAATGACAGCTGTGAAAATATGGGAGGTTAGTTATGTGGAAAACTCCAGCTGTAATCACCTGAAAGATATTCCATCAGCAGCAAACTGAACCTAGAGCCAGTTCCTCACCAAAGCTGTAGAAAAATAAGACTTGCGCCAGGTGTGGTGGTGCACACCTGTAGTCCCAGCACTTGGGAGGCAGAGGCAGACGGATCTCTGTGAGTTCAAGGCCAGCCTGGTCTACATAGTGAGTTCCAGGACAGCTGGGGCTACAGGGAGACACTGTCTCAAAAAGAGCAAAAGAAAAAAAAAAAAAAAAAAAAAAAAAGAACAGATGAAGCTGGGCATGGGGGCATAAGCCTGTAATCTCAGCACTTAGAAGGCTGAAGCAGGAGGGTTGCTAGGAGTCTGTGTAGTGAGTTCCAGGGCAGTGGTACATAGAGAGATCTTGTCTAGAGAGACTGTCTAAAAAAACTCCCAAAAGCAAAAAGAAAAAAAAAATCAAAAAATCAAAACCCCCCACAAGGGCTAGTGACATGGATGGTAAAGGTGCTTGGTGTGTAAGCCTGACCACCTGAATTCGATCCTTGGAACCCACGTAAAGATGGAAGAGAGAACTGACTCCACAACATTTTCTTCTGACCACTACGTGTAGGCCATGGTCATGGCATCCCCATCCCCAATCATGCACACATGCAATAATAATAATTAAATAATTTAAAGGCAAATCTAGGGGCTGGAGAGATGGCTCAGTGGTAAGAGCACTGGCTGCTCTTGCAGAGGACCTGGGTTAGGTTCCCAACACCTACATTGCAGCTAACAACCATCCATTACTCCAGCTGCAGGGGATCTGATGCCCTCTTCTGACCTCGTCGGGCAACGGGTGCACTTACAGTGATGCGGGCAATACACTCATACACATAAAATAAAAAAAGGAAAATCTAGTCTATATTCATAGAAATCAAAGTGGTCATTAATTACCTTTCACAGGTGATAAAATATGTATTTTTAAAAAAATCTTACTTATTTTTCTGTCTATGAGTGTTATGTCTGACTATAAGTGCACTCATGTTGTGCAATGCCCTCCAAGGGCATCAGATCCCCTGGCACTGGAGCTAGTGATGGTGTTAGCTGCCATGTGGGTGCTAGCATTTGAAAAACAGTCAATGCTCTTAATGGTTGGGCCATCTCTCCAGCTCCTTTATCCTAAAAAGAAAAAAAAAAAAGTATTACATGCAGGCAATACACTCATACACATAAAATAAAAATAAAATATTTTTTTAAAAGTAGAAAAAAAATTATTACACTTATTTACTTTGTGTGTGAGTGTGGGTGTGTGCAAGCCACAACATGCATGTGTGCGAGTGTCAGAGTGTGTGAGTGCCCACAGCGGTTCCTGGGGGATCGAATTCAGGTAGCCGGGATTGGTGGCAGTCACCTTTACTGGCTGATCCATCTCACTGGCCTAATAGAAATATTCTTTGTTTTAATCTAGGTGGAGTTATATGGACTACATTTCTGCAGTAGTAAATATTGCATCAGTAAAGTTCTTAGAAGAATCATACAGCAGCAATAATTTTGAGCGAGTAATGATGGTAAATGGAGTTATTCCTGGTATTTTCACAAAGGAAAAGTTAGGTTATGTTTTCAGGTGCAGTGGCAGGGGCCTGAAATTCCAGCATTCGGGAAGCTGGGGCAATGGCATTGCTGAGAGTTCCAGGCCAGCTTGGGTTACATAACAGGGTACTGTGCAAACGACAGTGACACAGACCCTGTTTGGGGAAAAAACAGTTGAAGAAAAACAGTTGTATCTTCGTGGTAGAATTCTTACTCATCTCTCTGGAAGGCCAGAGAGGAAAAAAACAAAGTACTCCGATAGCAGAGGATGGTTTCGATCCATCGACCTCTGGGTTATGGGCCCAGCACGCTTCCGCTGCGCCACTCTGCTACCTACTACTTAAGAGCCTTCGCTATTCCTACACAAAATTATGTTGCATCGGCAGTCCTGGATTCTCCCGCCACCTAGCGCCTAGTGGAAACCGTGCGTTTCTGTTCCGTCTCGTCTGCCCTTATTGGCTAGCTGCTGACACAGGAGGGAGTTTTTCATTGGTTCCTACGTAAACCAATAGCCAGAAGGGACGGGCCGAGGCGGGAGCCTATCGCGTGGGGCTTTGTTGGGACGCGCGGCGGACCCTCTTGGGCTGTCTGCTTCTCCTAGCAAAGGGGCGGTTGACCGTCCTCCATTGTTCGTGGTTAAGGGCGCCATGAGGTAAGGGGGCCGAGGTGCTCGAACTTTCCGTCGGAAACTTCTGGAAGGTGGGCTGAACTGAGGTCAGGGTAGCAGGGGCTGCGTACCTGCTGCTGGCGGGAAGCCCGGCCTGGGCGGCGGGCGGAGCGGGAGGCGGACCTGGTGGGGTCGGGGGCGCCGGGGGACCCCGTGGCTACGAGGGCTCAGGATGAGGTGTCCTCCCGGACACCCCGGAGCACCCAGGGCGTGCGTACGCCCGGTGCCGCCACAGCCTTCACCAGGGTCAGGAACAAACGAGAAGCCGCTTCAGCAGGGAGGACTCTCGGGCCACTTTGGGGTGCCAGTGTCAGAACCTCGTGTAGAGCTGACGTGAGCCCTGGTAAAATCCAGAAACAGGCTGTGTGTGGTGGCGCACGCCAGTAATCCCAGCGTTTGGGAGGTGAGCTGGAGGATCAGGAGTTCGAGGCCAGCCACGGTGTAAAGTAAAATGTGTGTCTTTCTAGGGGTGACAGAGGCCGTGGTCGTGGTGGGCGCTTTGGCTCCAGAGGAGGCCCTGGAGGAGGGTGAGTGCTTCTTATTAACTAGTTTCAGCATCCAAATGGGAGTTTGGCGTGGAAGCCATGTGTGGTTTAGAGGCATTTCATTTCCTGATCCTGCGGAATGAATTTGGCCCTCTTTGCCAAGAATGATACCACTCAGAAACTACCTTTTTTAAAAATGAAATTTAAAAAAAGTATATTTTTTATTATTATTTATTTTATTCTGTATGTGTCTATTGCCTGCATGTAGGTAAGTGCACCTGTGTCATGCAATGCCCTTGGAGGGCAGAAGAGGCTGTCGGATCCCCTGGGACTGGAGTTACAGACAGTTGTAAGCGGCCTTGTGGGTGCTGGGATTTGAACCCAGGTCTTCTCCAAGAACAGTCAGGGTTCTTAACAGCTGAGCCATCTCTCTAGTGCCTAAAAGAAATTTAAAAAAAAATTTATTTTATGTATATGAGTATACCATCTGCATATAGGTAACTGAAGAGGTCAGAAGAGGACATTGGGTCCCCTGGAACTGGACTTAGAAACGGTTATTAGCTGCCAAATGGGTACTGGGAATTGAACCCGGGTCCTCTTCAAGAGCAGCCAGTGCTCTAAACTGCTGAGCCACCTCTCCAGCTATGGAACTTCCATTCTTAAGACTGCCATTTTCAAAACCTTTGATGCATTGTGTAGGCTTCACTTGATTGCTGTTTGGTGAGTAATTGTGGACTGTTTCATGTTTTAGGTTCAGGCCTTTTGTGCCCCACATCCCATTTGATTTCTATTTGGTGAGTATTTTGGGTTAATAGGAGTTTCCTGGCCACTGCTCACTTAAAAATGTAGAAATGGAGCCCAGCAACCCCTTATTAATGAAGTTGAATGGTAGTTGGAAAATGGATTTGTGAATGGAGTTGGGTATTTTTGTTTGAGACAGGATCTTGCTGTGTAGCCCCATCTGATCCAGTACTTACTCTGTAGTCCTAGCTGGTCTTAACTTGGTGTGTAGACCAGGCTGGCCTTGAATTCACATAGATCTCATCTGTCTTTACCTTCTGAGTGCTGGGATTAAAGACATGTGCAACCACACTTGGCTGATTATATGGTTTTTATGTGTATGGGTGTTTTCCCTGCATGTATGTAGACACCATGGGTGTGTAATGCATGTGGAGGCCAAAAGAGGCCATGGGATCCCCTGCAGCTGGAGTAATGGATGGTTGTTAGCTGCAATGTGGGTGTTGGGAACCTAACCCAGGTCCTCTGCAAGAGCAGCCAGTGCTCTTACCACTGAGCCATCTCTCCAGTCCAGAGTTTTATTTATTTATTTATTTATTTATTTACTTACTTAATTTATTTTTTGTCTTTTTGAGATAGGGTATCCCTGTAGCCCCAGCTGGCCTTGATGTGCTATGGAGACCAGGCTGACCTTGAACTCCCAGAGATTCACCTGCCTCTTCCTCCCGAGTGCTGGGATTAAAGGCCTGCACCACCATTCCCGACTGAGGTTTTATTATTTTAATAATAAAGGGGATGAGAACTTGGGCTGGGGTTGTCGATTAGCTGGTAGAATGCTTGCCTAGCATGCAGAGCCTAGGGTTCCACCCCCAGCATTGCATATGCCAGGTACAGGGGTGCACGCTTGTAATTCTAGCACTCAGTTGATAGAGGCAGGAGGATCAGGATTTCACTGTCGTCCGCAGTTACATAGCAAGTTCAGTGCCAGCCTGTGATACATAAGACCCTGTCTCCAATGAGGTCTTGAAGACTCAGCTTGTATGAGTGTTTGGATTTGAACATCTGAAGGAGTTTAAAACAAGCATTATAAGCTGGGTGTGATGCATCTGAAACAGGATAGTCAGGAAGGAAAATAAGCAAATGTAGAATTTTTCTGTTTGTTGTTTTGTTTATTTTTGAGACCAAGTCTCATGTAGCCCAGGCTGGACTTGGTTCTGATCATCTTGCCTCTATCTCCCAAGTGCTGGGATACAGGTGTGCACCACATCTAGCTAAATTTTTCTATTTTGAAATTTTTTCTGTTGTAGTAGGAAAAAATGTTTGTATTGTTTTTGGTAAATAACATACGGTTTCGTTTCTGGTTTAGTGTGAAATGGCTTTTCCCCGGGTCAAGCCAGCACCTGATGAGACATCTTTCAGTGAAGCCTTACTGAAGAGAAATCAGGACCTTGCTCCCAATTCTGCTGAGCAGGTATGTCCTGACTTTTTGCTAAGAAAGTTAAAAGAGTTCATTATCAGGTAGGTTAAGAAGAGTGTTGTCTTGCTAGGATTGTAGGTCATTGGTAGACCATCGGCCTAGCACACTTGAGGCCTTGGGTTTGATTCCCAGCAAGAATGTTGCCTAAGCTTAAACAACTCGGCATTTCATTATTCCCCTTACATATTAAATATTCGTTGTTGTATACAGTTTTTGACTTCAGGGTATTTTTGCTCTTTGGTGTTTTTCAGGCTTCTATACTTTCTCTGGTGACAAAAATAAACAATGTGATTGACAACTTGATTGTGGCTCCAGGAACATTTGAAGTGGTAAGTTTTTGATGACTTAGTCCTAAGAAAGAGCATCCTTGGGATATGGAAGTATCCTTTGGCCCTTGCCTATTAATTTTTCTATTGTCTGTTATCCAAATTGAAGCCTAAAATGGCTAACTACAGAGGAATTCTGGAATTCCTGATGTTGAGGACAAGATTTGTTTCAACCCTGTCTGCTAGCTGTGATATACTGGGCTTTTATTTGGTGGTTTGGGGAACTGATTTTATCACTGCTACTTCCAGTCGATGATGGGTAATGAGAAGCGACACTGAAACAGTTCCAAGAGGAACAAGACACCTACATTCTTCTAAAGTTTTTTTCCCTGAATCCCATTTCCACAGCAAATTGAAGAAGTCCGACAGGTAGGATCATACAAAAAGGGGACAATGACTACAGGACACAATGTGGCTGACTTGGTGGTAATATTAAAGATTCTGCCAACATGTAAGTGTATCTCTCTCTTTCTCTGAAACATGGGGCCTTTGATGTGTTAGAATGTACCAGAGCTACATTCCTAGTACCTAGCCCACCTTTCTGAACATTGTAGTTAGATTTAGAGGCTAGAAATATTTAAAAAGTAGACATAGTGGCACATGCCTTTAATCCCAGCACTCAGTTTGAGGCCAGCCTGGTCTACATAGCGAGTTCAGGTCAGCTGGGACTACAGGGAGACCCTGTCTCTAAAAGACAAAAAAAAAAAATTATGTGTGTGATATGTGAAGGAGTCAGGGCCTGCACTTGCCATAGTGAATGTATGGATGCCAGAGGACAACTTTTGGGAGCAAGTTTTCTCCTATAGATGCTGGGGTTTGAACTCAAGGTTTTCAGGCTTGGTCACAAGTGCTTTTAGCCTTCTGAGCCAACCCACCAACCCAAGCCCAGCATTTCTGATGAGAAAGTATTTGTGGAAGGCAGGAAAATTATTTTTGGCAGGTTTTGATGTGTGTTGGAGTGACGAGGAATAAACTGCAGTGTGTTTGCAAGAATATACACGTTGTTATTGTGTTTCTCAATTGGAGGCAGTTTTGCTCCCCATGAGACATTTGGCAGTTTCTAAACACATCATTGATTGTCTCAATTCAGAAGTACTACTGGCATCAGTAGGGGAAAGAGGCCAGATATGCTGCTGAACACCCTAGAGTGCCCAAGACTGACCTCCTCCCTGAAGAGAATTTTCCAGCCAAATGTCCTAAGTGCCACTGACCTGGAAAACACTGCTATAGAAAAAAGATGTGTTTATAGGAGGATTCTTGTTGCCTGAGCCTCCCAAATCCTCTCTCCAGGCCTTAGTTCCTCCTTTAGAAGTATTTATTCTTTTAGTTGAATGCTTCAGCCCCTGGTGTACAAATGGAAATGCAAGTTGTTTATCAGTATATAAAAAGCCCACATAAAATAACATTACTAGGGGCTGGGGAGATGGTTCAGCAGTGAAGAGGATTTGTTGCTCTCACAGAGGACTTGGATTCAGTTTTTCAGCACCCACCTAAGGTGGCTGATTCAGCCACCTGTAATTCTAGTTTCCTCTTCCAGTCTCTCTGGGCCACTGCATGCACATTTGCGCTGCACTTACAGAAAAGCAGGCACATATACACATAAATTTTTAGAAAATTTAAGAAAATACATTACTATAACATTACATCCTTTTAATCTAGTGGAAGCTGTTGCTGCCCTGGGGAACAAAGTCGTGGAAAGCCTGAGAGCACAGGATCCTACTGAAGGTTTGAGTTTGTTGTTGGTTGTTTTCAATGACAATAAGAGCTGGGTCTTAGAAAGTCTAGTCAGTGTAGATGAAAGAGGAAGAGTTACTTTGTGAAAGCTTAGCAAGAGCCTCAGGCATCCAAATTTTATTTCCTTTTATAGGGGAGAGTGGGTTAGGAAACAGACTTAATGAGTAGCCCAGGCTGGCCTCAAATTTACATTCCTCCTGCCTCAGCCTCCTAAATTCTGGGATTATGTATCACCAAACGTAATGTGATTTCCTTTCTAAAGCTCTATAATTCAGAAATAATCTTTATTCTGAACTTTTATTGCTATTATTTGTGGGGTGGTTTTTTTTGTTTTTTTGGTGGGTTTTTTTTTTTGCTGTTATTGGGGTGTGTGTGCATTTGTATTTGTATGTATGTGTGTGTATTGGGGATTGAACACAGTGCCTCACACATGCTAGGCAAGCACTGCCCCCGAGCTGTATCCCCAAACTTCTTGTTGCTGTGGATTTTCTCCTCCACTTTTGAGACAGGTTCTCATGTAGGTAGGCTGGCCTTGAACTTGTGATCTTGCCTCTACCCATGCTGTTGTTATAGATGTATGCCCCTACAAGTTCTTGGTGTTTTTAAAAACCTGTGGTATATGTTTGTAATTATTACTTGGAAGATCCTGAGTTTGAGATCAACCACAGCTACACAGTGAAATCTTGTCTCAAAAATTAAAACAAAAACTAGGTGTAGAGACATAGGCCTTAATTCTAGCACTCAGAGGTGCGTCTCTCTGAGTTGGAGGCTAGCCTGGTCTCCGTAGCCAGGTCCAGACCAGCTAGCACAAGATGGAGAGACCTTGTATCAGAGAGAGAGAGAGAGAGAGCGAGAAAGCGAGAGAGCGAGAGCGCGAGAGCGAGCCCACCTGTTAGGGCTTGGTGTGGCATGCCTAAAACCCCAGGAGTATTTGATATCCTAAGGCTGGAGGATTGCAAATTCAAGATCAGCCTGGATTACATACATAGTAAAACCTTGTGTAACAAAACAAAGGCTGGGTAGATAGAATTCAGTTGGTAGAGTACGTGTCTAGAATGCATGAAGTACTGAGATCAATATGTAGCACCTCATAAATCAGGTGTGGTGGCACATGCTTGTACTTCCAGCACTACTGAGATGGGAGGAGGATCAGGAGTTCAGAGTTATCCTTGGCTACTAAACCAGCTAGAAGCAAGCCTGGGCTACACGAGACCCTGTCTCAATAGCAAAACAAGGGCCATTAGGAACGGCTTAGTGAGCAAAGGTGTTTGCCACTAAGCCTGATGACCTGAGTTTGATCACTGAGACCGACATGGAAAACGAGATCTCCACATGTGTGTGACACCTGTGTGCCTACTTGCACTAATTTTAAAAGAAAAACCAAATCAAAACAAAAAATGAGATACCGTTTTTGATTATTTTGTTCTTTTAGTTTTGACCATGCTGACCAATGAAACTGGCTTTGAAATCAGTTCTTCTGATGCTACTGTGAAAATTCTCATTACAACAGTGCCACCCAATCTCCGAAAACTGGATCCAGAACTCCACCGTTAGTCTTTTTTTTTTCCATTGGGAAATATGGGGGGGTGGGAGGAGCCCAAGTCTGATGCTGTTGTTGAGTTTATGTTAATCCAGCTGTTACGTGTGAAGCTTTCTGGAAATTTAAGTAGTTTACCATGGTTTTGTTCTCTGTTCTTTGTAAATAGTTTTATCAGCTTCCTAGTGAAAATTTCAAAACCCTAAAAAAGGGTAGCAGGAAAAAAAATTAAAAGAAAAAGGTAAAAAGAAAGATTAAAAAAGAACTCAGCCAGATCTTATGTTTCAATATAAAGCAAGTTTTAGACCATGCAGGGTTGCATAATGAGATCCTGTCTCAAAAAAAAAAAAAAAAAACCAACAATAAAAACACTGCAGAAATATTTATGAAGGGGAATAGAGTTTTGAAAAAAAATAGTGTCTTAGCTGTACTCCGTAGTGCATCCCTTTAACCCAGCACTCTGGAGGCAGAGATCCAAGGCCAGCCTGGTCTACATAGCAAGCATCCCTTTAACCCAGCACTCTGGAGGCAGAGATCCAAGGCCAGCCTGGTCTACATAGCAAGTGCCAGACCAGGAACTTTGAGACAGAAGACCCTGTCTCAAAAAAAGATGGAAAAAAAAAGTGTCTTTACCTATTTTCAGATCTTACTTGGGGGAGGAATGGTAATTTCTGGCAAGTGATTTGCCATTGATAACATGTGATGGCTTAAAGGATGGCTAAGGTAGCCTGTCCTCTTGCCAAGTTTTTGGCTGGCATCAGGATTGAGTTGCTTGCTTGATAATAGCAGTGTTTCTTTTTGGCCTGTCACACTTGTTTTCCAGTGGATATCAAAGTGTTGCAGAGTGCCTTAGCAGCTATCCGACATGCCCGCTGGTTTGAGGAAAATGCTTCTCAGTCCACGTGAGTCTCTTCACCGATCATTTGTGTTAAAATAACCTTTGCTGCTGGGTATGGTGGTACTTGTCTGTATTCCTAGTACTCTGGGAGGCTTAGGTAGGAAATTTTTTTTTTTTTTTTAACTATTTTATTTTTATGAGTGTATTGCCTGGATGTGTAAGTGCACCCGTGTTGTGCATTGCCCGAAGAGGTCAGAAGAGGGCGTTGGATTCCCTGGAATCGGTGTTAAAGACAGTTCTTAGCCACCATGTGGGTGCTGGGAACCGAACCTGGGTCCTCTGCAAGAACAGCCAGTGCTCTTAACCACTGAGCCATCTCTCTAGCCCCTTAAGCAGGAAATCTTGACTTCAAGGAGCATACCTATCTCAAACCACCGAACAAAAAATAACCTAACTGCAGTGAATAACAGTGATACTCCTGCTTCCTCTGACAGCTATTTCAGGTGTGATGTTTTGATTTGGATTTTTGCCTTAAGTAAACAAGATTGAAAGAAGAGACTGTGTGGTTATTTAACATTTTATTACGCTTAGATGTATTTTGTGTGTGTACACATTATATGTAGCATGTGTAGCAGAGGACAACTTTTAGGAGTTGGTTCTCTTCGTCCTGTGGATCCTTGGCATTGAGACCAGGTTACCAGGTTTATAGAACATACACTTTTATCTGCTGAGCCATCTCACTAGCCTTGAATCTTTAAATAGTATAGTCAGCTTCAACTGGTAATTTAGGTGTGGAAATATGAATTTTAATCCTCGGGTCTCTTACATTCAGAGTTAAAGTTCTCATCAGATTGCTAAAGGACTTGAGGATTCGTTTTCCTGGCTTTGAGCCCCTCACACCCTGGATTCTTGATCTGCTTGTAAGTAAAAAAGGGCAGCTGGGGATGTAGCCCAGTGGTAGAATCCTTTTCTAGTATGTGGGTTCAGTCCTGACTTCGAAAAAGGAACAGAGGTGCAACTAGAGTCTCTCCTCGCATTTATTTATGTATCTATTTATTTATTTGATTGATTGATTGATCGATCGATCTTTTTTAGACAGTGTAGTCCTAGCTGACCTGAAAACTCATGATGTAGACCAGGTTGGCCTCAATATCACAAAGATCCACCTGTCTCTGCCTCCAAGTGCTGGGATTAAAAGTGTATGCCACCACATCTGGCTTTGATTTACTCTTAAATCTACCAGAATCAGACAATCAGTGAAGTTTAAGAGACATTCTGGTCAGTCCTTGAGAGGCTAAGACAGGACCATCTCAAGTTTGAAGCTAGTATGGGCGACACAGGGAGACAAGAAATCCAGGAAAGACTATTAGTTTTTTGCTTCTTTGGGGTTTTAGAGTACTCCATGAAATGAGTAGTTTCTGAGGAGAGTGCTTGTTCTTTCTTTACTGCTGTCAGTCCTTTGTTGTCACACTGGAGACTGATGCCTGAATGAGCCATTTCAGAATTCTAAACATGGGAATCTTGGTTAGACCTTAATGGCTAGTTTTCCTCATGATTTAAATTTCAGTTCGTTTGAACACGAACTGCCAGTTTGGTAGCCATCTACCACTTTTTTCCAGGGGCACTATGCTGTGATGAACAATCCCACGAGGCAGCCTTTGGCCCTCAATGTGGCATACAGGTACATCATGTTTCTTTGGGTTTGGGTTCTAAGCTGTTTTGTGTGCTTTTAAAACATTCTTTCCTGTTTCAGGCGTTGCTTGCAGATTCTGGCTGCAGGACTGTTTCTGCCAGGTTCAGTGGGTATCACTGACCCCTGTGAGAGTGGCAACTTCAGGGTACACACAGTCATGACCCTGGAACAGCAGGTATTGGGACAGCTATGAAATGATGTGTTGACTACTCCTGGTCAGAAGGCAAAGGGAATGTGGTCCTTAAGGATGGGATTTGGGAGTCTTCAAAGACTGATTTGGAGATTGAAAGTTGTCTTCATCTGTTTTCACATAGGTGCAGTCATAGAAGGTACTTCCATTTATCTTGGCTAATTTACCTCCTTGTTCTTCAGGATATGGTCTGCTACACAGCACAGACTCTTGTTCGAATTCTCTCACATGGTGGCTTTAGAAAGATCCTTGGCCAGGAGGGTGATGCCAGCTGTGAGTACTGTGGTGTGGCTCAGAGGTTTCTTACAGTATTTTCTGATCTACAAAAAAGCTGTATACTGAAGGTGCCCTAGTAGTTCCATTGGGTATACCTTTAAAATTTTTTTTTTAATTTTTATTTTATATATAAGAGTGTATTGCTGCATGTGTGTAAGTGCATGTGTCGGTCAAAAGAAGGCATCAGGTCCCCTGGAACTGGAGTCATAGATGGTTGTTAGCTGCCATGTGGGTACTGGGACTTGAACCCGGGTCTTCAGCAAGAACAGTCAGTGTGCCTATCTGCTGAGCTTTCTCTCCAGCCCCCTACTGTGTGTATGTTGCCTTGTTTACTAGGCTTTTTAATCTAAAGTTGTTTTGTCTGTCTCCTAGATCTTGCTTCTGAAATATCTACCTGGGATGGAGTGATAGTGACACCTTCAGAGAGGGCTTATGAGAAGCCACCTGAGAAGAAGGAAGGAGAGGAAGAGGAGGAGAATACAGAGGAACCACCTCAAGGGGAGGAAGAAGAAAGCATGGAGACTCAGGAGTGACCTTCCCTCTTCCTGCCCAAGGGGAAGATGAGCCTAAGCCATGGGCTTTTTAAATGGTGGCATTTCTGTGGCATGGGGGGGGCGATAGCAGAAAGGAAATGTAATGAAAAGTATCATTCCACTGTTTGGTTTTTTTTTTGAGACAGGGTCTAACTACATATCTTTTGCTGGCCTGGAACTTGCTGACTTGCTGTGTAGACCAGGCTGGCCTTGAACTCAGAGATATACCCGACTCTGCCTTCTGTGTGCTGGGATTAAAGGCATGTGCCACCACCCTCGGCTCATTCCACTATTTGGATAGTGGCTGAGCAGCTAGAAGTCTCCAGTTTCTCACTACCACTTCCACCTATAATGACGTGGGATACCATACCTTCCTAATACTTTAAAACCTACCCACTCCCAACCAATACTTTGTTGAGATGTTGTGAACAGTCAAGTGTCTGTGAATTTTTTTTTTCTAAGAAAAATGATTAAAGTACTTCCTAGTAGGGCTCTTGGTTTTGTTTTTCTTCAGTATGTGACACCCATCTTTGCCTTCTGTACTCTTCATTATGAACTGTAAGTCTGTACTCCTGGAATCTTTCCAACATACCAGAGTAAATGAATACTGTTTTAGCATTGTGATTTCCATTGTCACCTTGGCCTAGGAGAGTGGTGAGGCATACTTCTGCATATGTCTGAGGGTAGTTCTGCAGAAGATTAACTGAGTGGTGAGACCCACCCTGAATATGGGTAGCACCATCCCATAAACTGGACAGAGTAAAAGGAAAAAGGAAGCCAACAGCATTCCCCTTTCTCTGCTTGCCCAGCATGAGGTAAGGCTTTCTTACCACGTACTCCTATCATCATGACATTCTGTTGCCTCTCTAAAACGATGAGCCAAAATAAATCCTTTAAGTTGTTTCTGTTAAGTATTTTGTCACAGTAATGGAAAAAAAAAAAACCACCAAAACCCTAATACAAGCATTTATTGAATTAACTCTTAATACTGTTAATATGCTCAATCTAGGACAGTAAGAGGTTAGATCAATCACCTTGAATTGCCTGCCTTCTCTAAGTACTCAATGTAAACGAAGCAGCAATCAGGCAGAGGACAACTTGCCTAGGTCCTAGTAACATGGACGCTCGACACTGGTTAACTAGGCTGAAAAAAGAGGATTCAAATATGTAGCTCTAGAAAAACAAAGGCTTGGTCAGGTGTGGTGGCACCCATGTTCAATCCCAGCACTGGGGAGGCAGAGGCAAGCAGATCACTGAGGTCAAAGCCAGTCTGGTCTACATAGCAAGTTTCAGGCCAACCAGAGCTATAGATAAAGATACTGTCTTGGGGGGAAAGAAAAAAAAAAAAAGGCTTGGGGTTTCTGCTCTTGACTTTGGGTCCCTCGTGTATCATGCTCTCCTGGGGCCAGGAAGCAGTAATAAGCAAGAGTTGTGCTGGCTAGGAGGATTTAAAATACATAGGGAAGGTTATTCCTCCCAGAAAGGAACTGTGTTGATAAGTAGGGAAGGAGTGGAAGTTTATTTTCTTCCCTAAATCTTTGATGTTTTCTGAATTTTCTACCATGTGATGCCTCATCTATTTAAAAATTCCAGGGGGGAAGGGAGTATAGAGACCTGAACCAGACACAGTGGCATACGCCTATAATCCCAACACTCAGGAGGCTGAGGCAAGAGGACCTCATGTTTGAGACCTTGTCTCAAGAAACAAAGTAGAGGCCCATTCTTGGAAGCAAAAGCTAGGATATATGTCCTTTAGGAAATTAGTCCTGTCGTAGGTTTCTTGAGGCAACTACATAAATAAGTACTTCAAACAGAAACCAAAGGGCACCCTTTTTGTCCCAAGGTCTAAAGGAACTGTTTCCTGGACTCCTTTGATGTCTGTCAAAACAAGGCAGCTGGGGAATGGTTGCTTGTACACTCAGGTCACAGGCCCATGCTGTTACTTGCTTGGAGAACCGGGAGGATAAACTCCTGAATCCAGCATTGTTCTCCTTCTGGCTGTTTCCTTGGCAACACTGTGGCTTAATCGCCTTAGCCGTTCCTAGGAGACAGGAAAAAAGAAGGGACTCTGACTGCTGTAAAAGATTTTAACTGAGTCAACTAGGTGTTAAAAATATCTTAGGCTTGGTCTTTTCTGGTCAGTCTTCTAAAGTATTATGTAGCAACTAGACACTAAGAATTGAGTTTATCAGTACTTGTCAGGTTATGTAAAGCCCTAGTATGGGGAAGGTATGGGAGATGGGTTTATTATCAGACCAGGTGACAACTCCCTTTCCCCCATATTTAAAAATTTTGGTGGCTTTTGTTGAAGACATAAAGCAGGGTAAAGCATCATTAGAAATTGTTTTTGGGTTGGGTGTGGTGGTGCACGCCTTTAATCCCAGCACTCAGGAGGCAGAAGCAGGTGGATCTCTTGAGTTCAAGGCCAGCTGGGGCTACAGGGAGACCCTGTCTCAAAAAGAAATTGTTTTGGGGCTGGGTGGGCATGGCGGTGCACACCTTAGTCCCAGGCAGAGGCAGGCATATCTCTGTTTGAGGCCAGCCTGATCTAAAAGAAATGGTTTTGTTTTCTGGGAGGGTCTTGCTCCGTAGCCCTAGCTGACCTGATCAACCCTATCTAGTCCAGGCTGGCTCAAATCCTGTCTCAGCACACAAATGCTGGAATACAGGCATGGACCACCATGCCCTGCTAGGAAATCATTATTTTTTACCTGGGCATTCTGTAGAATGTTGTTGACTAAGACAACTCGTCGCCTGGCATTAAGCAGCTTCTTAACATAGGGGTCCAGATCCAGGGCCACCTTCTGATCCTCATTGATTCGACACAGTTCTGGAAATAGAGAATAGTTGCAACAAACATGTAATGGCTTGTCTTTTGTGCTCAGGTACAGTAAATGACAAATGGGATGACATTTCCCTTCACTCCTGTCCTAAAACAGACGCTTCCGTTGACAGTCCTGATGTGGAAATAAATGACAGAGCCTGGAGAGATGGCTCAGCGGTTAAGAACACTGACTGTTCTTGCAGAAGACCTGGGTTCAAATCCCAGCCCCCACATGGTAGCTAACAACTATTAACTGTTAACGGTTCCAGGGGCTCCGACAGCCTCTTCTGTCCTCTGTGGGCACTGCACGACACGGGTGCACTTACCCACACGCAGGCAATACACGCATACACATTAAAAAAAAAAAAAAGAAATGACTGAAACCTAACCTAGAAAGAACCTGGGAAAACATAAAAGTCCAGAAAGAGAATTCAAGGATTTTAGGTATGGGGGATGCTCACTCACCTGTAGCTAGGTTGTCAATTTGTTCCCGGAGCTCTACCTGGCTTTCTCTGCAAAGAGGTACAAAGGCCTTACACGGTCAGTCAGTGGAACTCAGGAAACTCATTCCACGTATTTCCCAGTTCTGATACAAGCCGGCCTCCACTTAATGTCCCCATTTACGGCCTTCCGCCTGTTCTACCCTGCCTCCTATCATTTTCCCAAATAGACTCAAGTCTCAGAACTGGTGTCCTTTCGTGGTGCCGCCCCTACAAAGCCAGTTCGAAAGGCCCCGCCCCCAGCCTTCGCAGTCCGGCACCTGACGGCGTGCACGTGGGAGTCCAGCTGCTGCACAGCCGGCCGCAGGAACTCCAGGAGCCCCTCGGCGAAGAGGTCGCGGCCCGTGGGCCCGGCCACTGGGGTCCCTGCCCCCGACACAGCAGCAGAACCAGCCCCAGCCATGACGATCTGCCCTGACGCCTGAGCCTGCCGCGAAGGTCGCCGGGAAACACAGTCCGCCCATGTGCGCCGCGAGGGGGCGCTCATGAAACACAGTCCGCATGGCAGTGGGGTTGCTGGGAAATGGAGTCTCCAGAGAGCCTGTGAGGAGAGAATGGCCGGAACTAGAGCCCCCTACATACGTAAGCTTGTAATCCTAGCCTTTGGGAGGCTGAGGCAAGAAGATTGCTGTGAGTTCAGGGCTAGCCTGGACTACGAAATGAGACTTTGTTTCAAAGAAACATGCAAAAAAGGTAGGCAGTATTCTAGACACTCCCCAGCCCACTGCTTCCTTCCATTGTACCCAGTATATTCCTAAAAATGTTAAAAAACAAGAAAATTCTTCTGAGGCTCAGCAGTTAAGAACACTGGCTGTTCTTGCAGAACACCTGGGTTCGAATCCCAACACCCACATGGCATTTAACAACTGTAACTCCAGTTCCAGGGGATCCGACAGCTTCTGTCCAGTGCAGGCATTGCATGACACGGGTGCGCTTACACCTTCATGTAGGCAATACATGCATACACATAAAAAAATAATAAAATATTTTTAAAAAAGAGTTCTTCCTTTCACTCCTAGACCCCACATTGCCACACCATACTGTTTGTGTCAGTCAGGGTCCAACCAGCAGAATGACAAGTAATATCAACAGGGAAAGTTTAATATAAGAAATTATTAAGCAGGGTGTGGTGGCGCACGCCTTTAATCCCAGCACTCGGGAGGCAGAGGCAGGTGGATCTTTGTGAGTTCTAGGCCAGCCTGGTCTACATAGTGAGTCCAGGACAGCTGGAGCTATGAGGCTACAGGGAGACCCTGTCTCAAAATATTATTTTTATCTTTTTGAGACAGTCTCCCTGTAGCCCCAGCTGGTCTAGAACTTGCCATGTAGACCTGATCTCACAGAGACTCCCCCTGGCCTCCGCCTCCTGAGTGTTGGAATTAAAGGTGTGTACCACCATGCTGGGCTTTAGGATTCCTTTTATTTTTAATTATGAGCACATGAGCACAGGTGCCTGCAGAGGGCAGAGGCATCAGATCCCTCAGGAGTTACAGGTGTGAGCTGCCCATGTGGGTGCTGGAAACTAAACTAAGGTCCTCTGTAAGAGTAGTATTGCCTACATGTGAGTGCACCCGTGCGCTGCAATAGTGCAGTGCTGCGGAGATCAGAAGAGGGCTTTGGATTCCCCTGGAACTGGAGTTAAGGAAGGTTCATAGTTGCCATGTAGATGCTGGGATCGAACCCGGGGCCTCTGCAAGAGCAGTCAGTGCTCTTAACTACTGAGCCATCTCTCCAGCCCCAGAATCATTGAAAAAAAATCGTTAAAAAAATCATTTTATTCTCAGAGAAACTCTGATGATCCCACCTCTCGGCCTAGTTCTAATGGGTTCTTTTCTAACCTCCTCAGTTTTGGTTAGGACTGTTTGATTTTCTTAGGATTGTATCAAAATGCTGCAAAGTATCCAACAGAAGAGCAGCAGGCCAAACCTGAAGGCAGGAGGAAGAGGAGGCAGAATTAGTGGGGAGCTGTGAAGGACAATTCAGAGGCCACGATCCTCCTACACCCAACAACCTCCTGTGCTTCTCTTAAGCCAATTTTTCTGTGGGCCAGCCTTTGGTCCAGCATGGGGTATTTATGGTTTATAAACCTTTTCACTTATGAAGTCTACTTGGTGCTTGTTGACAGCGGACCGATGGCATAGTGAGGCAAAGTCTGGGCACCTGGGGTGAGCTTGAGCAAGGTGGACACCACCCAGTGACGCAGCAGTGGCACCTGGAGCAGTGGCACCTGGAGCAGTCACATCTTCACTCACATTGCCTATGGTTGCCACCCATTCCCAAAGCTTAGGCAGGGGATTCAGCAGTACTGCCCATCAGCCATCACCATACCAAGCAGCTTCTGCCAGGCCTAGGTGGCAGAGGGACTGGAGCCCAGGATGACTTTGACTTATCTTCTAATGTGGACCTTAGGTCTTCACCATCACTCAAAACATTTCATTTTCCCCATGACTTAAGAATTCCCTCCATCAGATCTACCCAAGCCATCTTCAGTCTGAACATCTCTCTACTCCTTCCCATGTTTCCACAGGGAAAATCTTCCTAGCATTCACTTCCTGTTTCCTGTCTGCATAGGTAACACGGTGCTCCCACACCACCTCAGTTCATTGCTGTGTTCCCACTGTCAGCCCTCCCTTCTGCCTAGATTCCTAGAACAGCTTATTTCCTCTGGGTTGGTGCTGTTGTTAGGAAAAATTCTTTGAATGTCTAAAAGACCAAGCAACCAAGTCAGAAAGCTTCTTTATTTCCCTTCTCATGTATGATGTCCTGCAATCAGCAACTAGGCTTTTAGATTTTCTGGGCCTTGAACTGAAGTACAGATGGGCATTAAATAGGCATTTAAAAATGTATTTTATTATTTTTATGTGTATGAGTGTTATGCCTGCATGTAGGTAAGTGTGCCTGTGTCGTGCAATGCCCTTGGAGGACAGAAGAGGCTGTGGGATCCCCTGGAACTGAAGTTACGGACAGTTGTTAGCTGCCATGTGGGTGCTGGGATTCAAACCCAGGTCTTCTGCAAGAACAACCAGTGTTCGTAACTGCTGAGCCATCTCTCTAGCCCTAATCTCTCATGCCTAATTTTAAATAGGCATTTTAAAATTATTATTTTTTGGTCTTTTTGAGACAGGGCCTCCCTGTAGCCCCAACTGTCCTGGAACTCCTGGAACTCACTATGTAGACCAGGCTGGCCTTGAACTCACAGAGATCCACCTGCCTCTGCCTCCCAAGTGCTGAGATTAAAGGTGTGTGCCACCACGCCTGGCTTAAAATTATTTTATCTGGACCTATGTTTCTTTTCATGATGGGCCATGTTATGTCAGGAAAATTCCTTCCTGAGTTTACTGTCATCATAGCTTACTAAGTAGACAGGACATCTGCTGCCTTTTTAAGTTAGGCCAGGTTAACTGGGCTAGAAATCGGAATCTGTCAGTCACTGCAGTTTACAAAAACAGATGTCACTGGCAGGAGTTTAGCTGTCTGTCACATTTGAGCTACACTTCTCTTGGACTGATTGGACCAAGTGCCCCATTAAACCATTTGAACTTCCCATTCTCTTGGTTTCACTGTATCAACAGACATAGTGAGTGGAAGGCATCACGGGGCTTCAAGGCATTACAGAGTAACAAAACATCTCAGATACTGAAAATAGCACAGCAATAAAAGGCATTCCAGGGTTGCATTTCACAGTATTTACCTAGTAAGTGAAACAAAAGGAAACTTTAAATGGAGGATATTATATAAGAATATAATTTGTTATAACTTTTCCCAGGCTGGAGAATTGGTTCAGCAGTTAAGAGCACTGGCTGCTCTTGTAGAGGACCTAGGTTCCCATTCCTAGCACCCACATGGTGGCTAACAACCATCTGTAACTCCAGTTCCAGGGAATCTGACATTCTCTTCCGACTTCTGTGGGCATTGCACAACACAGGTGTGCTTACACACACAGACCTCTTCGAGACAGGGTCTCCTTGTAGCCATAGCTGGTCTGCCTCTATCTCCGGAGTCTCTGGGATTAAAGGCATGTGCCTATAATATACTTTTTGGTTGTTTTGAGACAGGGTCTCCCTGCAGCCCCAGCTGTCCTGGAACTATGTAGATAAGGCTGGCCTTGAACTCAGAGATCCGCCTGCCGCTCTGCCTCTCAAGTCCTGGGACTAAAGGTGTGAGCCACCACACCCAGCCTACCAAATAATCTTATCCTAATAATCTCAAAGAAATAGTCAACAAATTAAAAATGTTTATAAACACCCTAAAAGGTGAAGATTTTACACATACCAGCTAGGATTCCCAGCATCCTTAGCTGGGTCACTGAAGACCCTAGCCTTACTCATAGCCATCTATCACAAGCAGAGGGCAGCCAGGTGACACCAGGACCACACCTCATTAACACCCCAAACAAAAAATTATGGTGACATGTTATAATCCCAGCATTTGGGAGGTCAAGGCAGGATCAGGAGTTCAAGGCAAGCTTAGGCTGTATCATAAGGCCCCGTCTCAAAAATGCAAAATAGGAGATAGAATATCCCAAGTCTTGACTGTAGATTCCTATTGAGGGTAGTGTTTGCAGGGCAAGTCCAGGATCAGAGGCCAGAAAACCTGATAGCCATGTCTGCACAAGAGGTATTTGGGGCAAGTGTGCACTCTTGTCCCTTCCATTTTTGCTGCAGCATCACGGAGGAGTGGCTTCAGGTAGTATTGGAACACTATGGCTGCAGTTGGGCAGGGAGAGGGAACAGAGGCCAGGCCAAGCTCTCTCCAGCTCTTCTGGGACCCATGGCTCAAGCATGCCTTAATTCAGAACCAGGAAGGGTGCTGCTTGGCTGCCAGTATTTAAGGCCTTAGAAGGCACTTTAGGGGGTAAATTACAGTTTGTCCCACTCCCACCAAGACTGTGCTCTGCTTCTCAAAATATTTGAATGGCTTTCTGCTGCCCAAAGCACCAAGTCCAAACTTGAGCAATTAGGCTCCAGGACACCTACACTATTTCTTCCTCCCTGACACTCTCTTCAGCCATGGTACCTGTATGCTTGTTCCCTCTGCTTGGAAGTTTTTGAGACAGGTAGCCCACTCTGGCCTCAAATGTGCATGCAACTTCTGCCTCAGCCTTTGGAGGGCTGGGATCACAGACTCCTTGCTTCTGCTGATTCTGCCTCTTCCTAGCCATCTTTAAACTTTCTCTGAGCATCAATGCCCTTCTATGACACAATGAGGCCCTGTTTGGATTGTAAGCCAAGCCTCAGTAGATGGTAACTGAATAGGTTTGAAAGGTTGATCCAAGAGTCAGGTTTACTCTTTGTCCTGTTCGACCTGGAACACTTACCACAAAATGAGCAGAGGTTGAATAGGCCTCAGGAGACCCTAAGAATCACAAAGAACAGTAGGTAGGGCTGAAGAGCCCATGGCTGGTAGGGAAGTTCTGTCCCCATTTGTTGAAGTACTTTTTCATTTCATGAAGGAGTGGCAGAGGCTGCGGCCAGGAAGGGTAGGGATTGTCCTGGCTGAGACCTGCAGGCCCTCAGGGATCCTATAGTCCAGTACCCATCTCCCCTGAGGGCCTCAGATTCCACACCTCCAGCAAGGAAGGATTCACAAGCAGATTATCTTGATCGAAATGTCCTTCCAGGCTCTTAATGTACCCCCACCCCAGGTATTGTGTGGTGTTCCTCTTTTCCCTTAAAGTGCCAGAGTCCAGGAGCGCTCTAGTTTCCCATGGGCCAGAGGGGTCAGTCCATCATTAGTTTCTAGGGTGGATAATCTTTCCTCAAGGCTTAATCAGAGAGCAAAATTTTTACTTTCTACGACAAAGCCATATCCTCCCCTCCCCTGGAATTTTAACGTTAACGAGAAGGGTTTTCAAACTATACAGGGGCATACCAAGACAAAACGGTTATGCCACTTTATGAAACAGAACAAATAAAAAGTCCAGGCTGAATTTCAGAGAACAATTTGTTATAATAATGAACCAGAAATACACGAGTCCACTGAAACTGGAACAGCCAACAAAATATGGTTGAATTTAAACCTTTGAGGAAAGAGGGCCAAATAAAGCCAGTTAAGTGGATTAGACCAAAACTGGGTTTGGACAAACAAGGACAACTGCTCTTGCCTGAGCAGCCCACACCCTCCTCAGCAGCTGGTATGCCACGGCTCTTCCATCTTTGTGCCTTCAGCCACATCCGCCATACCAAAAGGCTTCTTCCCCTCTCATAGAGGTGCACAGACCTCTTGGGCATGACAGAAAGCCAAAAGGAAAGCTTCAATAATCTTATTTTAGTTTTGCAATCATACATATCCAACCCAGCATGCTAGGCTACCATTTATGTGCTGTCAATGTAGGGCACTCCCAACTTTGATCAAGTCACCATCGTGTGTACCTACTGTGGACCTGAGGCAATACCAACACTCCCAGTTCACTACCTACACTATGAATAGAGCAGATACATTTTTGAGCTCCAGATTTTAACACTTCTAAGAATCTTTTAAGAAAGATGGAGAATTCTATCCCAGAAACCAAGCATTAATTAGCGAAGAACACTTATTCTTCCTGGGACTGTTTTGTGGAGACACAGAGATCAACATGGGAAATATTAGCATGTCAGAGCATGACAGGTGAGGGAAGGAAGAGGTTGGAAGTGTTCTACCCAAAAGGCCAACACATTCTTGTTCAAACAGAAGTCTGGGTCACTGGGGAAAAAAAAAAACCAAACAGCCAACCAAAATAAACTCAACCAAATTAAAGGAAAATAGGGTTTCATAAAACACAGTATCAAAAAGTAAACAGAACAAACTAAATGCACCAACTGGTGGCAGGTTAAGTCCACAGCCTATTGTGGCAGTAGGTCCTTCCAGCATCAATCAGGTGTCTTCTCATGTTTTCTCAAGGTTATTGTACAGATGTGTTGACTTTAACAGTTTCTCACAGGCAGGCAGGCAGGCAGGCTTCAATCATTGGTTTCAGGATCTGTCTGCGCCATGTAGGCGTCCAACTCAGCATCCAGGTGTCCTTTAGTTTTCGACATGTATGCATCCAATTGGTTGTCCAGTTGCTCCTTGGTCAACACAGGACGAGTGAGGGCACCTCTCCCTCGGCCACGACCTCGGCCTCTGCCTCCAAAGCCCCCTCTTCCCCGACCTATCATACCCCGACCTGGCCCAAGGAAAAAAAAGAAGACAGTTACAAGTAAGTTTAATGGGTCCTAGAATAAATGCCCCTTAGAGCTGTGGGGCCTAGCTGAGAAAAGCTCAAGGACAGGGCAAAGAGGAGAAATCTGGAAAAACAAACACACTGGGTAGAAAGCAACACATGGAAAGCACACGTAATGAATCCCTCATTAAGTGTTCATCTCTAAACCCTACAAGAAAAAAACCTCCCCACAAAACCTTCTTTTTGATGAGACAGGGTCTTGCTATGCAACCCAGGCTTGGACTTAAAACTTGCACTCCTGGGCTGGGGGCGTAGCTCAGTTGGTAGAGTGCTTGCCTAGTATGCACAAAGCCCTGGGTTTGATCCCCAGCACGGCATAAACCGGGCAGGGTGGTGCACACCTGTAATCGCAGCACTCAGAAGGCAAAGGCAAGAGGTTCAGAAGTTTGAGACCAGTCAGGGCTATAGAAGACCCTGTCTCAAAATCAAAAGCTGGGAGTACAGGTGTGTACTATTATTCTGTCAACAAACAATTAGCTAAAAAATATTAAAAATAAACCTCCACTAAGACAAAGGATTATCTAAAGTTTGGGATCCACTATAAATTCATTATTAAAGCACATTATAGATAATCTCAGTAAGGAGGCAGCACAAAGGGCACAGAGAAATCAGGGGTTAGGTGTGAAGGTAGACAGCTTTCAAGTTAAGCTTCAATGGAGACCTTCAGGAACATTATCCCATCTGTCCTAAATTTATTAAGTCTAATGAAGTGACTCCATGTGTCCAAAGACTGAAGAGTTATTCTGACATAGGAACAATAGATGAAGAAAAAAAATGAGCCGCTTCCCTTCTAATCTGTCACGTTAGGGCAATTATAGTGAAATGAGAATATCAATTCACTAACCAAACACCCTGCTTTCTGAACAGCTACTTTTGTCTTTCCTAGTCCTCTGATGTCTCTTTCAAAAACCAAGTCAAGATAAATTAGAAAAATCCTATCTCATCCTGAAACCCATATAAGCTTGCACTTCACTCAATAAGCCAAGTAATATAATGGTGGAGAAGAAAATAAACCTTTGGTTATCAAATGTCCTTTCTTAACAGTTATTTATTTTTGCCAACTTCAAGGTTATGAATTATGAAGACCTGCCATACACTTTAAAAAGAACAAAAGCAAACACCCAGAGGGCTTAGAATAGATTCTCTACCCCATGAACAGGTGTTGGGAGTTTCTTACTAAGCTCTAAGCAGAAAGCTCCCATGAAATTTGGCACCATCACCACGATTAAACTCTTTTCTAATCTGGTCTATGAGGTCACAAGAGAAGTATCAAGGCACCAAAGGTAAAATTATCAACAAGAGTCAGTTGGCTAACACATCTTACTTTCAACCTTGATCGGAAAAACTGTCTTTGGTTTCTCAGACACAAATTTATTAAATTTACTTGGTCTCAGAGTCAATGACTGGCACCAAGACTCATCCTACTACCCCACAGTGCTTTGGGATTGAATCTAGAGTCTCATGCACGCTAAGCATGTGCTATACCACTGAGCTACATACATCCCCTGCTTATAATCTTCTTCATTTGTTCCATTTCTGTGGATCTCCCTCTTCTTTATTGTGTGATGGTAGTAGAGCTAGAACTCAGGGCCTCATAGAGGCTAGATCTACCACTGAGCTTCATCCCAGCTCCTCTTATCTGAGTTTAACTGGCTTTTGGGCTACGGGATGGGTGTGTAGTGGTGATGGCAGGTAGACACAGAAAAAGGAAAAACCCCAAACTGATCACTGTGTCATTTCCACAATTCAACAATTCAATTTAAACTTCTAAGAGCTTGGGGGAAGACTGCATAAAGTATGGCTCTAGAAAATGTACCCGACAGTCATAAAAACCCTGACACATCTTTGCACTATCAGCATGTGAATTTAGAAAATAAGCCATTCTCAAAAAACAAACAAGACAAACAAACGAGCCTGTCTACGATTTGAAGCTGTGCAGAAAAGTGGCTCTGAGTTAAGGGAGGAAAATAAGGGGGAGCTACTCTCTGAAGTTGGTAGCTGACTAACCTCTACCACCGATTCCGCCACGACCCATAGCTCCACGCCCTAGGCCCCCTCTCCCAGGACCTCCACGGCCTCGAACACCACCTCTTCTTAAGCCCATTCGGGGAGCTACGGCTCGTCCACCTCGGAGCAGGTTTTGACCTTGGAGAGGAGGCATACAATGTATATGCAGGTAAATCCAAGAGAGACAAAGAAGATTCTAACCAAAGGAAGGCGGTGAGGGTTAAATAAGATAATTCAGTTAACTGTTATAGTCTGTGTGGGGCAAGCTGCACAGTGAGCGTGAAGAGATTCAGCAGCTCTTAATTAACAATTCTGTTCACAAACCATCTCTGGAAAAAGCTGGGACTTAATTAATAACATACATTTAATAACCACTGAACCATCAGATAGGTGATTTATCACTATGGTAGACTTAAAAATAAATGCTATGATTCCTGCTTTCAATACATTTTTGAAGGGGACAAGAACTTTTTATAATGGGAACAGTGTAACAAGTGCCCAAAATGTATGATGCAGATAGGTAAGCCCTATGGGTCAAATTGCCCCCTCTCTTCAGGAAGAAAGAGCGACAGTCAAAATACAGGCCAAAAAGACTCTAATTTTCTTTCCTTGGTATTGAGGATATTCAACCCAGGGCCTCGCACATGCTAACCACACATTTCTTAGACTGATTTCTAGAACTTGAATGTGCTCTGATTCAAGCAGCAGCAGGGTGTTTTAAGATGGAATGGAGATGACATGAATTACCTGTTGTTATGCAGGTCATAGCCTCTCACCATTGCACATTATCAGAAAAGGAATGATATCGATAAAACATGCAGCAGTACTAAAATGTGATTTCAAAAGTTATTAATTATATTAATACAAATTTAGGATCAAAGATGCTAAACAAATGTGTTCATAAGCAGCCCAAGAGAAAGGGGAAGAGGGTAGGGCCCAACCATTATCAGGTACATATAAGCACTGACCTCGGAGTGACATCCCGCCCCTAAGTAGGGTTCTGGTGGCACGTCCCCCACGTAGTCCTCCTCTGGGCAAGCCTCTCTGGATTATGGGCAGGCCTCGTCCTCCAATTGCTCCCCTGGCCAGGGCACCTATGGGTCGGCCTAAACGTGCCTGGATGTTACTCTTACCCAGGCGTTGCTTTAAGCTCTTCTGGAAGAAAAGGTGTTGGAGGATTGAGATCAAAAAACCAATTCAGTAGGATTTGGCAATTCAAAGTTCAGGGAAAAAGAAGCAAGTGAGATGCCTGGTGTGGAGGGAAATAAACCTGTTGCACCGTAAGGGTCCTAAACCAGAAAACTCTATTTACCTCAGAACATGGTGTAAAAGCAGAATTCTGATCCAGAGCAAAACTCTTAAGAAGCTTTAGTATGGCCCACAAAAGCGGCACCACCACAAATAGTCTTTCTAATTTGGCTACCCAAATCATGTATCAGCAGTTGGAAATTAAGTAAGAACACTTGCTGCTTTGAACCACAGCTTGATAGTAATATACTTGATTCATACCTGCCCAAGGACTACCACTGTCTTCAAAGGCTCACTCAAACACCAGAGGAAGTTCATCACACTCTGGGCAAAACATAAATTATAAGTTCATTTGAATTCTTGTGACTTAAGAACAAGATTGATTTCTCAGTCAAGGAGGCCAGTGTGCTCCATTTTTCTAACTCCAGACGGTCCACTTTTTTTTTTTAACCTTAAGATGCAAATAAACACAAACAAGTCAAACTTCCTTTCCTTACATTTATTTCTCTCTCTTTTTTTGGTCTTTTTGAGACAGGGTCTCCCTGTAGCCCCAGCTGTCCTGGAACTATGTAGACCAGAGTGCTGGGATTAAAGGCGTGCGCCACCACGCCCGGCGCTACATTTATTTCTTAAAAACCTGTTTCCCCTTGCCAACAGCTCCCTTAAGCCAGTGTTAATGGTCTTAAACACACAATTCAAATTTATCTTTAGAGAGCCAGCCAAATTCATGTTAAAATTAAGACAAGTGAGCTACAGCCACAAAGGGCCCACATAGAGAACAAGGACACACGAGAGATACTGATGTTCAATTACCAGTTCCTCCCAAAGTTCCTGAAGCTCACATCTCAAGAGAATTCAGTTTCTTCAAAGGAAAAGAAGGTAGTACAGCCTTGAATACAACCAAGGCCAGAGCAATCCTGTTTTTTTCCATAAAGCTGTTAGTTGATTTGAATGAAAATAAAATTTGTACCCTTGGGAGGTAGAGGCAGGATCTCTCTGAGATCAAGGCCACCCTGGCTCATATTGTGACTTCCAGGTAGGCTGTGACTACAGAGACCCTGTCAAAAACAGTCAACAAAAAAAACTAAAAAAAACTAAAAAAAAAAAAAAAAAAAAGTCACCTTTTTGTCCACAAGTAATTTCAATCAATAGATACATATATAGGAATATGCAAATGTTTGTGCATACACATCTGCTGAATTAGAGCTCTGAAGATGCTGAGGCATTATTAGTTTTCTAGTACAGAACTTCCAACTGCTTCTAAGCAGAGGGGAACAAGCTCCTAACAATAAACATGTAGATAGGCAGGTGTACTCAAACATAAAGGCCTAGCCTGTCATTTCCAATTAGAACAGTAATTATTTTTGTGGTGCTGGGTATCAAACCCATCCCGCATGCATTCTAGGGCAAGCACCTTACCACTATATTCCCAGACTTTGGGGAAGAACTGTATGGTGCAGACTTCTTCCAGCTCCATCCTTAGGTGCTACCAATCCTGGATACTGACGTCTATCAACAATACCACTCAGTTTCTACTCTAAAGCTGTGCTGAATGGTAAGGTAGCCACTAACTCACACATGGCTATTTAAATTTTAAAAAACATCTTTTTTGAGACAAGGCTCCACTGTGCCTTGGGCTGGCCTTGAGCTCATAAGGGTCCTGTGTCAAACTTGAATGCTGAGATTACAACTATATGGCCCTATGTCCTGCCTTAGGATAACTAAAAGAAAAAACATAAGCCCTCAATTAATACTAATGTGTGGCTACTGGCTATCGTATTGGACAGAGGATTTAGAGCATTCCCATCATCATAGAAGCTGTGGATGCTGCTGCTCTTGAGGTTACTTAAAAGCTTGTTGAAAGGTCTTCTGGTATTATCAAAAACCACCAATTTTTATGTACTTTTCGGAAAATGGTAGTGCCTTTTGCTTGCTGCATTCCTGAGTCAGAGATGAACCTAATCAAGGTTTGAAGATAAATGAAGCAGAAAGCTTTGCTTATTTTTGGTCAGTGAGCCCAATGGTTCAGAGTGGGGGTGGGAGGGTGTTATATTTAACTGCTAAATTTATGCACAGCCATGCAGTGCTATCAGTTAAAGTCCTTACAGTTGCATGGCATCGCCCTCCAGACGCCCAGCCACAGCTTGAACATATCCTTCCACAGCCACTGTCCGGACTTGCATATAAAGTCTATGAATGATAAAGAGCAGATTTTATTCGGGCCTGAACAAAATTCTCTCTTCGTGGAAATCTGAAAGACAACTCAGTAACACTAAGTTACTCAGCACTCTTGCTCTGCTGCACTAATAAAACTAGGTGCGCTGTCATGGTACGCTTTTTATGTGTATTAGCACTGAAAACCTTAGCCTAAGGCTATTCAGGCTGTACCAGGGAAGAATTCAATTATTCTCCTAGTTTTGCAAACCATTTTTACAGACAGTAAAGGTAACTAAAACTAAGTTTCTCTCATTTTTTTTGGGGGGGGGGTGAGAGTGGTGGGAATTGAACCTGGGCACTTGTAGCCTAAATGAACATTCTTTGAAAAAGCCAAAAAAAAAAAAAAAGAAAAAAAAAAAGATTATTCTGTTTAAAGGTAAAGGATCAGAAAATAAGAGATTAATGTTCATTGATAACACAAACAGGCCACATAGGTGCCAAATTTCCCTAAAAGAGAAAGATAATAAAAAGTTACTTAATTGGTACTTGCCAAAATTGGAATTCTCTGAACATTTGTTTCAGAGAAGTTTCAGCTTTTGCCCTGAGCCATCTTGTTCTGATATCCATCATGTCCTGACAGCCTGGGTGGACTGCCTGACACAGATCACCAGCTGCTTCGGGAACACTGAGACCCATTCTCTCACCTGCTTAAGTTTTAATGCTGCCTGGACAGAGGGTCTATTCTCCATCTGCTGGGCCAGTCTTCTGTTTCTGGCACTGGCTAGCTGCTGTTGTTGCTGCATCGAAGCTCGAATATTCACTGGCATCGGCTGTTTGTTCTTCAGCATATTAGTAAAGCTTCAAGGTCGAACAAAATGGATGTTTAAATAAAAGCTTTATTATAAAACATTTATTGGCATTTTCATGGCTTGCTAGACCAGGAGCTCCAGATCCCACGAACTTTAAAGTGGTACATTTAGATCAAGGCTGATGTGGGTTAAAGACTCCTCTGTTTCCACAGCAAGAATCAGAAACTCAGAAATGCAGCTTTAGTGCGGCACAATTAAAAGTGATAACAAGGGCTCAGGTAACAGCTCTTAGAGGTGGAAAGTATGAAAAACACGCAATAAGCAAATATGATGACAACAGACAGAGATGCAGTTTCAAAGACAAATGAAAAAGTCTAAACCTTGAAAATTCAAGGGTTCTTCTAAGGGCAAATATGAGGAAGGTCTAGAACACTTTCAGTTAACTAAAATGCAACAACATAAATTATGGGAGCTTATCACATTTTAACATATATGCTACTTAGTAACATGAATACAGGTAATTAGTGTATCACATCCTAAGAGATCAGGAGAGAAGCACATATGCTTTAGAAGAAGCAAAAATAGACACAGACGCTGTAGGAGTTCTAGCATCAACTTGGTAAAATGGTAAAAGGCACTGAATAAATGAATCTCTCAGAAATAAAAACTTCCTTTAAATACCTTAATTTTTCTTAGCCTTGAATGATCATTTTTTCTGACTCAGTACTTCTGAGAAAGTTAGTTCAATCACTTAAGAGCCTGTAAGGACAGTCCTCTATCATTCCTGTCATGTTAAGTTCAATGGAAGAAAACATGTAACTGTCAGAAGAATTGAAAACAAAACAAACTAAAAAGCAGAATGGAAAGAAAGTGAAATGGAGCAAAGCAAGTGCCTCTTACAAGGCCCAGGAATGGCATTCAGGGGCCTTTGGACATAGTCATGGCTTGCTACCTGCCTCTTACAGGCCAGACACAACACTGCTGGCCTTGGACAAGGCAGCAAGCCTATTGCAGCCAGGATATACCATACCATCATGCTGCACCACCCCTGTATCAATATTAAGAAAAATAACAACAAAAAAAACTTGAAGGGAGGGTGTGAGGAGTCTTTTAAAAATGTATCCCACCAGGTAAATATTTCAGACAGCTTAATATAAAAATCTACTGATAAGGGGTTTTGAAACAACTGCCCAATTTCGTTTGTGTACCACATTAGATGCAATTAAGAACAGAGGTCTGTAGCCTTCTGTTGGTATTTAGCTTACAACTGTTTTTTGTGCATTGGACCCCAGGGCCAATTTAAGTAAGTGTTTTCTTAGGAAGGAGCTGAAGTTGCTGTTGGCTGCCTCACCGCTCATTTAGAGACATCTTGGTGGTGCTTTTTAGCACAACTTTCGGCGCTGATTGTGCAGCCATCTTCAAATCCCGAGAATCTACAAGACAACATGCACCATGAACAGATCAGAATCAAGGTGATTGCATTCCCACAAGGGATAAGGCCTCAACTGACATCTAATGAAAGGCCTGTATCACTGACCACTGAAGATCATATTAAAATTTATCTCGAGTTTAAGCTTATATATCACGTGCCTCAATTTACTAAGATGTCAAAGCCTCGGGACAGAAAACATCAGTCAAATTCTCCAGACTAGCAGAATCGAATGCAGCTACAGTATATATGTCTGACCTTTAATCTAGACCAGTCCTTTTAATCTTGACTAGCCAAGTAATGTGAAAAAAGAAAAGAAAAACCAACCTAACCAAATTCCTGATGCCTGGGCCCAGACCAACTAAAGCACAATCTGGTGGTCCAGATGGGGACACCTAAGTGCATCTTACTGTGGGGGGAAAGTTAAGCATTAATCTAGAAGAAACGCTGGGGCTTGGAATACTGTCAACGGTGAAGTGCTTGCCTGGCACTGATGACAAGGTCCAGTTCTCAGAAGCCAAAGGGGGGAGTGGGGAGGATGGAGGGAGGGAGGCGGGAACAGGCCTAGTGGCATTTGGGAAACAGGCAGGAGGATTGACCCAAGTTCAAGGCTAGTCTGGATTATGACACTGAGACTCTGACTCAACGAAAATAAAAAATTAAAGCCTAGTTTCAAAATGGGCTCTCAACCCCAAACTCAAGTGGGGCCCTAGAAGGGGAGGAAAGATTTGTTAAGGGAGACAGGGTGGAAAAGGCTTTCTAAGTGAGTATTCAACCTGACACCTCTGAGAGCCCTCCTCAAAATTTCACCCTAGCCAAGCCTGTTGTTACAAACCTACCAGAGGTGCTGAGGCAGGAGGATCGGGAACGCGAGGCAAGCCTGGGCTACATAGTACTGTGAGGCCAGCCTGAGCGGGGGCCCTGACTCAAACAAAAGCAAAAAAGGGGCTGGGGATGTCAATGTCAACTCAAGAGTGGAGCACTCGTCTAGCAGGCGCAGGATCCCGAGTTCAATTTCAGTGCCGCAAACGCACTCCCCGGACGCCACAGCTACATCCCGAGTCCTCATTACTCTCCAAACTTTGGTGACTGGCCTACCCAGGTGCTCAGTCCCACCGAACGCTCATTTCACGGCCGGGCAGTAGCCCAGCTGCAGAACGCTGCTAGTCCAGCAAGCCGTGGGGCTCGAGGCCCAGTTCCCACGCACGTCCACCCGAAGCAGTCCTCGCAGCCCGCCGGCCGCAGTTCCGGCCCAGCCTCCGCCCTCCGGCTCCGCCCCCTCCGGCCTCCGCGCGCCTCCTCTCCACCCACACCCTGCACCTGCCCCGTTGCCCCGCGTCCCTTCGGCTCCCCGACTCCTCTCACCACAGAAACGCACCGAAGGAGACGGACGCCAGCGCTCCTCCCGGGGCTGCCACCACGGCTGCGGCGGGCGGGCGGGCGGCGGGGCCAGCCGAGCCTGGGTTGACGGTGGACGGTCGGGCTAGCTAGTGGGCGGTTGGGGGAGCTGCTGGAGCGGCGGCTGCTGCTCGCTGGCGGTGGGGTGGGCGTCCAGCCGGCCGATCCTCGCGCTCGTCCGGCCTGCCCTTTCCTGCCTTTCGTCTATGCCACCTCAGCCAGCGCCGCCAACTGCCGCTTGGTATCCAAAACAAAATGGCCGCCAACTCCGCCCGTGCGGCGTGACCGGCTAAAATGGCGTCTACGTAGTTGCGTCAGGCGTCAGATGCGCGCGCAGCTAGGGGCGTGGAAAATGGTTGGCCACGTGGGGAAGCCCTCCAGGGAAGGGCGGACGTCTGCAAAGCTTCCTTCAGTAGGCTGGGGGCGTGGTGGCAGGGAGGCGGTGGCAGGCGGATCACTGTGAGATCAAGGCCAGCTTGTCTATATAAGGCTGTCCATGCTACATAATACGACCCGTCTCAACCGACAAACAAACCCCAAACCAACCTCTTTCTTATGTGGGACTTGCTTCTGTCTCTTGCGCACCTCAGCGCCTGGCTAGTTTGCCCTGCCTCTCTCACTGAGCTAACCTTCCAAGCTGAGTTGTGAATGGCTTGAAAGCCCCATCTGAGGCCCAGAAGGCTAGTGGAGCACACCTTTAGTGGATGCTGCACTAGGCACCGGTGCTGCTGACCTTATATAGTCCATGATGTTTGCACCCCAACTTGACCTGAATATTGTTTAATCCTTAAGAAGAGACTGTGTCTCTGGTCACCTTCTATGTCTTCCCTCCCCATACATCATACGTGTGGAGTTGGATGTACACTTACACAGGGAATTTGCTCCCCAACTCCATCTCTCTTTTTTAAAAAAAGTTTTTATTTTTTACACGGGTTTCACTCTGTAGCCCTTGCTGGCCTCAAACTCACAGATCCACCTGCCTCTGCCTACAAAGTGTGTGTCCCACCATGACCAGCCTTTTTTATTTTTTGAGACATTTCCCTATGGAACACAGGCTGGCCTTGAAATCTTTGTTTCAGCCTTAAGGGTGCTGGGATTATAGGTGTGTGCCACCGTGCCAGCCTTAAAGGTATTTTTCTTATAGTTGGGTACAGGATAAAGGGCTATGTTTCAGGGATGAATATATTTTCTATTTGTTCTTTGTCTTTTTGAGACAAGGGTCTCTCTGTAGTCCCAGCTGGCCTGGAATTCACAGAGATACACCTGCCTCTGCCTCCCAAGTGCTGGGGTTAAAAGTGTGCAACACCAAACCTGGCTTATGAACATATTTTTCAACTTTTTCTACCTTAAATGCTCAGGAGGACTTCCTGGCACTTAAGTGATGGGTGGAAGTGGTTTAGTGGTCATTTATGCTTGTTGGACTTTACTCAGCTGAGAGTAAGAATCTCTTTTCTTTTGCTCACTAATGTGTCCCAGTTCATCGAATGAAGGTTGGAAGATAGGTTCATCAGTTTATTTTTGGATTTTAGTGACAATCTCTTTATGTTGCTTTGGCTAGCCTGGAACTCAGAATCTTCCTACCTCATCCTTTCAAGTCTGGGATTACAGGTGTGTGCCTGAGACCTTGAGAGGCCAATAACTCTTTGCTTCCAGCGGAAACTTTGGACCCCAGCATTTCTAGGTCTGTACAAAAACTCTCTCCAAAATAAGGAGTGTTGGGAGTAATCCTCACTTTACCCATATCCAGACCCCAGAGGAGACAGAAATTGATGGCTGGTGAGAGAGAAGACTTTAATGAAATGAGTGGCAGACCTGGACTGCCTCTCTTGCGCCCTTGGTGTGTGTTGGGGTTGGACAAGGTGGGTACATAGGGAGGCATAGGTGGGATGAGGGGAAAGCAGAATGAAGGAGCAGGTCTGACAGGGTGGAGGGGAAGGGCGCTGCACACCAAGACTCTGCTCAATTGTTCTCCCAGAAGAAGTTGTTACAAGCCACTGTGAGAGCAGCCACCAGCACAACATATTCCTGGAAGTCCACCTCCCCATCGCCGTTTTCATCTAGCTCCTTCATCACCTTGTCCACAGCATCTGCATCCTTCTGGGCCTGTGGAGAGGAAGAAGGAGGTGTGTACCACCAAGTTAGGGATGAGTGGGCTGAGGAGAGTGAGGCAGAGATGAGTAAGTGGGAGAGTGATATCTAATTATGCCAGTTTTCTGTAGCCCTGAAGAGGGGTGCGCTCCTGTTGCCTACAGAACCTGGCAGAATCAAACTAACATCATCTGTCAACTATTGATTGTCTACAATATGACAAGCCCTAGACTAGGAGCCTCAGGCATTTCGTTTGTTTCATTTCTTTTTTTTTTTCTTAACCCAGGGCTGGCCTGGAACTTGAGGCCCTCCTGCTGATGCCTTGTGAGTGCTAGCATTAGGTATATGCCACCAAACCTGGCTGTCTCCTTTAATACTAAAGCAAATAGTATGGGATCCATTTCCAGTACTTCCATTCTAGAGAAGAAACAAATGGATAGTTGCGGGTTAAAGTGCCCAAAGTTGCTGGTGTCTCCTGCCTCTCTGCATCCTCCAGTCAAATGACTACTGGGCACACTCCGCATCCTTCCTCCCATGCTTCTGTTCATGTGGATTCCTCCTACAGTGTCTTCATTTACCCTGATTTCTGATGGAAAGCCATGGCTCAAGTGCCACCTCCTTTAGAGAAGCCATCTGACTTCAGATGGTACTAATCTCCACAGTGCTTTTGGCCACTTCTGCGAAGGCTCTCTGCTAAGCCTCTACATTTCTGGGAGTTTATGGTTGTACTTATTTATTTATTTATTTATTTGGAGACAGGTTCATACTATGTAGTCCTGGCTCACCAAGCTGGTCTCAAACACACCTGCTTCTGCCTTCCCAGTTCGAGGAATAAGGGTGTGTGCCACCACACCTGGCCCACTCATTTATTGTTTGTGTGTGTGTGTGTGTGCGTGCGTGTGTGTGTTCGAGTGTATGCCACAGTGCTGCTGTGCAAGCCAGAAGACAACTTTTGAGAGTCAGCTCTTCCATTATGTGGGTCTTAGAGATCAAACTCAGGTTGTCATGATTGGTGGCAAGTGCCTGTACCAGCTGAGCCTCCCCCCGCTTTTTTTTTGTCTTTTTGAGATAGGGTCTCCCTGTAGCCCCAGCTGTCCTGGAACTCACTATGTAGACCAGGCTGGCCTCAAACTCAAAGATCCGCCTGCCTCTGCCTCCCAAGTGCTGGGATTAAAGGTGTGCGCCACCACGCCTGGCCTATTTTCCCCCTTTTTATTGAGACTGTCTTGCTCTGTAGCCCTGGCTGTAGGAACTAACTATGTACTCCAGACTGGCCTTAAATGCATGGTCATCCTCTGCCTCAGTCTCTCAAATGTTTGGGATTATGGGTGGGAGCTGGCTTTCTGTGGCTTACTTTTTTCTTTCTTTTTTTTTTGTCTTTTTCAGACAGGGTCTCGCTCTAGCCCCATCTGGCCTGGAACTTGCTATGTGGACCAGGCTGACCTATAACTCACAGAGATCATCCTGCCTCTGCCTCCCAAGTGCTGGAAATGAAGACCTGTGCCACCATACCCAGTCAGTCTTTCCATTCTGTTATGGGTCTTGTTATTGATGAATCTACCTAGCCTAGTACTTAAGAGGTAGTTGGTAAATTAGAGCATTTTGACCTTATCAGGGAGGAGTTAAGGGTGCCTAAAGAAACCTAGGTGGGGAGCCTGGGAGAGGAAGGGGGTTAGGCTGAATTGGGGGTGAGGTAGGGATATGGGAGGGAGGTGCCCACTCTTTTCCCCCACCCCCTACCCTGTGCTTACATCCAGGAAGCCGGAGAGCTCAGTTTGTAGCAGGTCCTTCAGCTCCTTTTTGCTTAGCTTGTATTTGTCCCCCTCTTTGCCCGAATGGGCATGGAACACGTTGATTAAGGTCTCCATGGCAGTCTCCAGCTCAGAGCCCATTTCAGCAGCACACCTACATGCCCCCCCCCCCAAAGATAATAGTGAACTGGAGATCAGGTTCAGGGTATCTGGGGTCTGGGTGAGGGGTACCCTCAGACTTAGGCCTGTTTTCACAACTCAAATAACTACAAGATGGATGATCTGTTGCAATTGATTTTTTCTTTTTTTTTTTTTTTTTTTTTTTTTTTGCGACCAAAACTCACTGTGTAGACCAGGCTGGCCTTGAACTCACAGAGATCCGCCTGCCTCTGCCTCCTGAGTGCTGGGACTAAAGGTGTGTGCCACCATGCCCGGCTGCAATTGATCTTTTACTGAGATTTTGCAATGTGGAGAAACACCAGCACACCTAAGTCCAGTTCTGTGATCTCTGTCCCTCCATCTGTGCCCCAGCCAGAGGGAGTCAGGGATGGGCCTGGAGAATGAGCCACAGGAACTGGGCTGGCCTCAGAGGCCTGCAGGAGATGGCAGTAGAGGCTCCTAGCTGCCTGGGCAGAGACTGAGGAGGGTGGGGCAGGCAGGGGTAGTTACAGGGCCAGGAAGGCTTCTGGCTCTATTTTTACCCTGGACTTTTCAGGCCTATCACAGTGAAGCTCTGCCATTGGGAGTGGTAGACTGAGGCTTTTACCACCCACCCCCTCCATGTGCCTGATGGAGGTGTGACAGTCTGAGTGGGAGACCCAAAAGTTGTTGGGGAGGGGAGTTGCACTGTCTCTGAGCTCCCTGTCAGCAGCATGTGTTCTGCTATTGGTCTTTTACTCTTATTTCCAGCTTTTTAAATTTTGGCTGTTTTTTTTTTTTTAGACAGGGTCTCATTCTATAGCCTAGATTGATCCGGAACTAGCTCACACTAATCTTCAACTTGTGGGCAGTCCTGCCTCAGTTCCCTATGTACTGGGACTATGGAACACACTGATTAGGGTCTCTATGGCATGAGCCACCATACCTGGCTCTCTTCTCTCTTCAACATGTCCTTTTGGCTTCTCTGGCTATGCTTTCCATTGCTTCCTGTTTGACTCCCTCTTCTCTTCAAAATCATCCCTTCCCACCAGGTAGGTAGGTAGTAGGAACAGAGGGGAAAGATCTGAGCTTTTTTTTGGGGGGGGGGGCTTTTTGAGACAGGGTCTCCCTGTAGCCCAAGCTACAGTTCCAGTGTCCTGGAACTCACTATGTAGACCAGGCTGGACTTGAACTCAGAGATCCGCCTGCCTCTGCCTCCCAAGTGCTGGGACTACAGGTGTGTGTCACCACGCCTGGCTTCTTTATTTTATTTTATTTTAATTTTTTTTGGTCTTTTTGAGACAGGGTCTCCCTGTAGCCCTAGCTGGCCTGGAACTCACTATGTAGACCAGGCTGGCCTTGATCCACCTGCCTCTGCCTCCCGTGTGCTGGGATTAAAGGTGTGCGCCACCACGCCTGGCTAGATCTGAGCTTTTTCACTGGAGACAGAGCATCTAGGGAGGGGAAGAGTTAAGCTGAAGCCCTGGTCATAGCTGCTGTCCATTCTTGCCCCAGGCCAGTTCTGTTGAGGTGGGGACTGGGAGCTGGATTAGGTTGGTTTGTGTTGGGGAAGATAAAGGGAGGAGTGCTTGAGGTCCTTTGAGTTCAAAGTTGGCAGACAGCAGAAGAATGGAGGGAGAGGTCTATTGAGGAGAGACTGTCAAGCTAGGGGGCCTCTGTCCTTTGGCCCTGTGACACTCAGGCCCTCCATAGCCCCAGGAGCAGCAGCTCAGGTATCACAGATCAGGTATCTTCATCCTTCCTCACCCCCAGGTAGACTGGACAATGGGTCCCGATCAGATGACATCCCAGCTCTTCAATGGAGCCCTTGTAAGTGTCACCTGAACTCCAGACATGAAAAGTAGTTGTCAAAGAGACTTGGGGGAGATGGAATCCTAGCTGAGCTGATGGAAGGGATAGTGCTCAAGGGAGGAATGCTAGTGGCTCAGTTACCATTCTTATCTATGAGGGGCACCTGGAGGTTGCCAGGAGCCCTCCAACAGCCTGGGATTTTTTTTTTTTTTTTTTCAGTGTGGGTGAAGACCTAGGGGTGGGGCAATGGGAAAACAAAGAGGGAAAAATTTAGGGAGAAAGAAGTGGAGGTCAAAGCTAAGAAAAGGACACCAGGTCTTGTGAAGGCAGAGATGGGAAAGGCACAGTGCCATGGAACCCTTCTTCATGATATCACATGGTCCTTGCTCTGCTGCCCCTAGTCTTTTCTGGAGTCTGGGTCTTTGCAAGGCTGGATGGCAAGAATGACTGAGGAAGCGGGTGGTAGGTTAAGGAGGTCGGGTTGGAGCAGCCTTTTCATTCTTACCCTATGGGAGGCAGAACTGTATCTCCCCACACACACCTAGAGACTGGGGGACCAGGCAGAAGACACAGGGTGTGTGGGAAGGCCTGGTGGCCTGGAAGCTGGGTGACAGGTTCGACACTGGCCTTCTCATTCACTGAGCTTCCTGCTCTCTGACCTTCACTTGCCTCCCTTCACTACTCTGCCCTAGATCCCAAACTGCCCTTACCCGTGACTGATTTCTCCAAGACTCTCACAGCACTACAACCCATTCTCAAGACCTCTTGTCTTTCTCAGGCCTCCTTTCCCCCAAGTGGGCCAGGTCAGGGCCTAGGCCTGGCAGGATACTCACGGTTGGCCTGGACCTGAGGTGGGAGCAGATTCTGGACAGAGCGGCAGGCTGCAAATGTGGCTCCTGGAGCGGTGTGGGAGACCTGTCTTTAGCGGTCCTCCCCTGCGGACACCCCTCCCCACCGGCTCCACCCCTTCACAGACAGACACCCAGTGGGGCCAGGGGCCAGGAGTGGACAGAGGCGCCCTCTGTCTCCCGGGCGGGAACAGGCTGCCCAGTGTCTCTTCCCCGTCTTGGTTGTACCCCCTCCCCACACCCGCGCGGGCAAGAGCCCTTGGGGAGGTGGAAGAGATGTCCTGAGGGGGCCTGCCACCACCCCCCTCTCCCAGTTCACCAAGCCCGCTGAGCCGGGAATTCTCCGGAGGGGTCCTTAGCCCTCAGTGAGTGCTTTTGTCTGGAAACTCAGGATTTCAATCGGGGTTACCCTATGGGGGTTCCCCAGAGGTCTTGGACTACAAGGGCGCTTTGCAGTGTCTCTGATTTCTCAGACTTGCCGGTGGCCGAATTCCCTCAAGTGGTTGGTTCAAACAGCGGTAGCCATCCCTCCAGCGCAGAATCCGTGTAGCTGGAGGTGGGAGGATGCGGCAGCAGCCCCCAGACCTGGGAGGGAGAGCGCGGGGTCCCTGCCCAGGCTAGCCCTAGGGGCCTGCGGCGCTGGCTTGGGGAGTGGTTCACTGCAGGGGCGGGTCCTCTCTCTTCCCAATCAGCAGAGGAAACTTGACACTTGGGGCTTGGGAGTGGCTCTCTCTTCCCTCACGCTTATAAACTTCAGCCCAGAGGCTCCAGGTTGCTGCACCCCATCTCCTTGCCTGGGTGAGTTGCACCCCTTGACTCTGCAGAGAGCCTAGGGATCCTTTTTTCTCCCTGGCCCCAAGTTCCTCCCGGCGGGTTCAGCAGGGATTCAGGAAGTGACTTTAGGAGAGGAGGCATGGGTCCTTGCAGGAGTGTGGACGGAAGTAAGGGGGACCACTGGGCATGTTCCCTCTAACAGCCTTCCCTTCTGCGCCCCTAGGGCACGTAGTGCCAAGACCAAACACTTCGTGGGCTTGGGGTGTCTGCAAAGTCCAGTTTGGGGACCCTGTCAGCAGGAGACAGGAGTGGGGAGGGTCAGCGGCTTCTTGTTCTGACCACTCTGCCTGGCTGTGTCCCCTGAGAAGAGGGCGTGGTGGGGCAGAGAAGACTGGTCTGGCCAGATTGAGCCAGTTCTTATCACAACTGGGCCTTTGCCAACCCTGGGCTTCTCTGCTGCGAACAGCAGCCAGTGTGTGGGAGTGTGGAGACCTAAGTCCCAAATCTAAACAAGCATTGGAGATAACCTGACCTCGCAAGGCTGGGAGTGATCACCAGAAGGGGTTCCTGGAGCAGAAACCCAACATGGGGGGATCACTAGACTCAGAGAACTCTGAGAAAGACCCCTAGATAGAGGGGTCACCACTCTGAGGGACCATCACGAGATATCCCTAAAACAGACATTTAAAAAGGACACCTAGACATGAGTCACAGAAAAAAGCATTTCTGGAACTGAGTCTAAACAGATACTTTTGTTTGTGCCTGTTCCCTTTGTCTTTCCAGTCATCTGTTTGAGGAGGCCAAACCAGGCAAGGGACACTTCCTTCCTGGACCCTTGGATCTCTGACTCTGGTCTGTTTCTTCCCTGTCAGGTCAGTCTGCGAGGACATCAGCTCCTGCCTCAGGGTACTAATGGCTGAGGAACAGCTGACTGAGCTGGAGGCAGCTATTGAGACGGTAGTCACTACTTTCTTCACCTTTGCAGGGCAGGAAGGCCGGAAGGGCAGCCTCAGTATCAATGAATTTAAGGATCTGGCCACCCAGCAGTTGCCTCATCTGCTCAAGGTTGGTAGAGGTCCCTGGATTGAGATTTTGTGAGACTGCAAAGATACCATATGCCATGTAATGATGCCAAACCTATGATGTGACAAGGAAGAATGTGACTGTATGTGCAGGTGGTTCTGGTTTTTTTCTGCCTGGTGTGTGTGTGTGTGTGTGTGTGTGTGTGTGTGTGTGTGTGTGTCTAGATAAGCAAAGATGCTGTGTTTGTGCAATTGGGAATGTGTTACTGGGCTCTGTGCTCCTGTCAAACTGCCATTCAGTTTTGGTGTCTGCCTGTGCCCCTCTGATCTCATTTTCTCAACACAGGACTGGAGCCAGAGATGGATTCCAGGAGATTCACAGACAGAGCTAGAAAGAGGCCAAGAGAAAACATGGTCCAGACTCTTCACTTTACGTGTATGAAAAATGAGTGCCAGGTGTGGTGGTGCATGTAACTTAGGAGGCAAAGGCAAGAGGATCCCACAAGTTCCAGGCCAGCCTGGTCTACATAGCAAGTTCCAGGTCAGCCAGGTTTACATATAGAGTCTACTTTCAAGAAAACAAGCAAACAACAAAAAGCAAAATAAGACAAATAGAATGATGAAGCTCAGGGTTGGGAGAGGGCTTAACAAAAATAAAACACAGCCACATGTGGTGGTATGTACCTTCAATCCCAGTACTGGGGAGGCAGAGGCAGGTGGATCTCTAGGAGTTCAAGACTAGCTTGGTCTACATAGTGAGTTCTAGGCTAGCCAGGGCTACATAGCCTCTGCATCTCTATCTATCTATCTATCTATCTATCTATCTATCTATCTATCTATCTATCTATCTATCTATCATCTATCTATCTATCTTTCTTCTATCTATCTATCTTCTATCTATCTATCTATCTTATATCTATCTATCTATCTATCTATCTATCTATCTATCTATCTATCTATCATCATCAATCTATCATCATCTGTATTTATATAAACAAGCCAGGCATGGTGGTTCAGGCTTTACTGTAAGCTTGCAATCTCAGCATTTAGGATGCTGAGGCAGGAGGGTTAGGATATTGAAGCCAGCATTTGGAGATCCTTTTCAACAAATGCACAGACAAAGTCATGGCGTGCTATACACTCTGTACCAGGGACTACTTCCCACTCCCTATGGGAATCTCCTCAGTAGGGGTCATTTTTTTCTCATAGGAGTTCCGTTTTTTTTGTTTTGTTTTGTTTTGTTTTTTTGAGTCAGGACATCACTATATAGTTTTAGTTGGCTTGGAGCTTGCTTTATAGACCAGGCTGGCTTCAAACTCACAGAGATCCACCTGCCTCTGCCTCCTGAATATTGGGGTTACAGGCATGTATCACCAGGCTGGATTTTAAAACAAAACATTGCTGAAATTTATAATCTCTCCCCTAGAAAATTCCTTATATCCTTTGACTTCTCAAGCTTTCCCTTTTGTATTATGAAACTTCAGGTACTCTTTTGAAGGCACAGCATTTCCCTGTACACTGGTCAAACATTGAGTTTTCTTTTTACAAATTCAACCTCTGTGATCCTGGAAATGTAGGAAGTGTCCTCTTTGCTTTCTATATTTTTCTTAGTTTCTTCTTCCAAATATTTCACCAGCTTCTTGGCAGCCCATCCAACTGCTCTCATTTTTACTGTACTTTTTGTGTGACAACCTCTCCTGTGTCTTATGCTCCACTTCACCGTCCATTACCAAAATAATGTGCTCCTTCTAGAACCTCATCCAGCCTTCATCTGACTACCTTCTGTCATTCCATTTTTTGTTTGTGTGGGATTTTAAACAATATTATTTTATTATTTTTATGTATATGAGTGTATTGCCTGCATGTATGTAAGTGTACCCGTGTCGTGCAAACTGAAGTTATGGACGATTGTTAGCTGCCATGTGGGTGCTGAGATTTGAACCCTCTACAAGAGCAGTCAGTGCTCTTAACTGCTGAGCTATCTCTCCAGCCCTAGTGGGCTTTTTTAGAAAAAGATAAGGGGATCGCTTCTTGGACTTTTGGCTAAGATCAAGTATAAAAAAAAGATAAGGGGCTGGAGAAATGGTTCAGTGGTTAAGAACACTGCCTGTTCTTGCAGAAGACCTGGGTTTGAATCCCAGTACCTACACGGCAGCTAACAACTGTCCGTAATTCCAGTTCCAGGGGATCTCACAGCCTCTTCTGTCCTCTGTGGGCATTGCATGACATGGGTGCACTTACTTACATGTAGGCATAACACTCATACACATAAAACAAAAATAATAAATAAAAATTAAAAAAAATTATGGCCAGGTGAGGTGGTGCATGTCTTTAATCCCAGCACTTGGGAGGCAGAGGCTGGTGAATCTCTGTGAGTCTGGGCTACATAGAGAGTTCCAGGCCAGCTGGGGCTATAGGGAGACCCTGTCTCAAACAACAGCAATAACAACCACAAATTATGTGTATATATGTATGTCTGTATATGCATATGAATGAGTGCAGGTGCCCACAGAGACCAGAGGCTTCAGATCCTTTGAGCTGAAGTTATAGGCAGTTGTTAGCTACCCTACGTGGGTGTTGGGAACCAAACTTGGGTCTTCTAGAAGAGCAGTATGTACTCTTAAGCACTGAGCCATCTCTCTAGCCCTAGTTATGTGTTTTTGAGACAGGGTCTAAAAAATTGCAGCCCAACTGGGCATGGTGGTACACACCTTTAATCTCAGCACTTGGGAGGCAGAGGCAGGTGGATTTCTGTGAGTTCATGGCCAGCCTGATCTACATAGTAAGTTCCAGGCCATCTGGGGCTACAGGGAGACCCTGTCTCAAAAAGACAAAAAGACCCCAAAACCCCCAAAACCAAAAAACAACCCCCCCGCAAAAAAAAAAAAAAAAAACCCAAAAAACAAACCTGTAGCCCAAGGTAACCGTCCTTGAACTCATTGCGTTCTCCTGTTTCAGCCTCCCAGCCCTAGGATTCACATACATGAGTAGCATTCCATTTCTAACTCTCAATCTAGTTCCTCCACTCCAGCATTTCCTTGACCTCAATGCGACCTTTAGTCTTGATTGCCACTTTTTCACCTCCCATCACCATCCCTCATCTCCTTACAACTTTTCTTGCTTAGCTATTGTTCTAAGACACATCATTATAATCATACTCACAAACTACTGATTCTGTTTCTGTCTTGGCTGTCTGGCAGAACCCCAACCTACCTAAATTGTCTGTGTTATAGTCTGTGATCCACAAATGCCCTGAACAGACAAACAGACAGGTGAGTCTAGAGAAAGAAAGGCAGATTTATTATGGCCAGGCTACACTCTTTCCTAGAGGGTCTGAGTGTAGCCCCAACCCTAAGCACTCTGGCTCTTTTATATTACTCATTTTGCTAGGCAAGCTAGCAGAATACAGAAGCCAATCATTGAGTGTTAAGCTTGAGCAACCATTATCAAGGAAATACTTAAGAAAATACAATTTTCCATCCAAACCCCCAACCCAAACCACAGTACACCTGCACGGAACTAGCTTCCTCCTCTTTCATAAACAGACATTATCAGTCTTACTGTTATTCTACATTGGTCATGGTACATTGCCTTTACTGGTCACAGAGTTCCCTCTAGGGGGGTTTGTATAGCAATTGTATCCTAGGAACTTGATCTTTTAAAGTTTCCGTAAGTCTTCCAACCAGAAAGGGGTCTGTTCCTTTATCTCTTAACATGAACCTCCAAATGCTATGGGGTACTTCTTGTACAGAGAAACTATGACTGGGGGTGAAAAGTTTAAGTTCCCAAGCTTACAGGTGGAGAGTCCCCTTAATAATTTCTATTCTATTAAGCAAAAATTATTATTTTGCAGAAGCAAGCCAAGCATAACCTACAGAAGCCGTAAGTCTGCAGTTAGCAGGTGCACTCCAGGACACATTGACCTGTTCCCAAGACAACCTGGGTTCAGCTGACATGTGTTCCCATACTCTGAGCCAACTGCCTGATAAGTTCAGAGACTAGAGTCAGCCTAAACTTTAACATGGCGTAGCTATGGTCAAGGTGCCCTGTTACATCTGCACTTGAACAGCTAGATCTAGCTGGAGGAAAATGTACAACTATGTTGACTTGTCTCACGCTAAATCTATAACCACGACCTCCAAAGGGACCTGTGGCAATGCCTAGCAATTCTGTATTTCCCTGTCAATGATCGGTTCACAACTTTCCCCTTTTCCTCAAATTCTAGTACCTGTTTCCACATCCTTCTTGTCACTGAGAAATTGACTCATTGAGAAGGTAAGAGCAATCAGGAAACTTTTGTGGTCTTTCCCTAGCCCCAAACCTTCTACCCTGTAAGCACATACCCCGACTTTCCTTCCTATTCTCACAGATGGTCTGTCTGTGCTTCTAAGGCCAGGCCTGCATCCCACCCCCACCTACTTACAATGCTTTCTCTTGCAGTGATTCCTTTTTTCTTCTGCAGTATCTAGTTTTCTTTCTTTACTGGATGTTTTTTATGTTTAATATTTCTCATCTTTAGTTAGCTTGCTCATGTTTTGAGACAGGGTCTCCCTGTATAACCCAGGCAGGTCTTGAACCTTCTGCCTCTTCCTTCCAAGTCTTGAGATTACAGGAATAGGACACCAAACCTGTATCTTTTTTTTTTTTTTTTTCTTTTTGAGACAGGGTCTCCCTATAGCTCCAGCTGTCTTAGAACTCACTATGTAGACCAGGCTGGCCTTGAACTCACAAAGATCTGCCTGCCTCTGCCTCCCAATGCTGGGATTAAAGGCATGCGCCACCATGCCCAGCCCCAAACCTGTATCTTTAAGATTTTAAAAATAATTTTATTTATTCTGGGTGTGGTGGTACACGTCTTTAATCTCAGCACTCAGGAGGCAGAGGCAGGCGGATCTCTGTGAGTTCAAGGCCAGCCTGGTCTACATAGTGAGTTCCAGGCCAACTGGGGCTACAGGGAGACCCTGTCTCAAAAAGACCAAAAAATTAAAAAAAAATTTTTTTATGTGTATGAGTGTATTGCCTGCATATATGTGAGTACACCAT